AATCATTTTTTTTAAGCCTCTCCCTGGCTCTGCAGAGCCGATGCAGCGCAGTGTGAGCTGGCTGCAGTGTCGTTCTGTGGTCACTGGTGATTGAAGCAGAGCTGCTTGTGCTGCTGCAAACGGGGGCACTGGAGGGAGGAGTGGGGCTGAGTCACTCCCCAGACCCTTCCTCGTGGATCTGTGGCTTGGGCTCAGAGCCATGACCCGTGTGGAACTGTCATTTTGGGTAGTTTAGCTCCCAAACTGAACGAGGATGCAGGAATCCACAGCTGTGTGCTCACCTTGGCGAGCGCAGAGAGCTGGCAGTCTGATGCCAGCCCTGTTCTGTTCCCTTCCCTTGAACAGATAATGATTTATTTATTTTCTGTACCTGTTGCCCAGCTTCTCCTAACTAAAGGAGAGGAGCTTGAAATGCCTGCTTCACTGAGCAGCCACTGCAGCACGATTTCAGCCGCATTAGACACGAGGGTTTGTGAGGAGGAACAGCCCACAGAGACCAGACTGGAGGAGCTCGTTGCTCACATAAATATTTGGTTGCTTTTCAGTGAATTTTCTGATTAACACTTGGATGTTAAAACAGTTAATTTTAACCCTTTTTTTTTTTCTGTGAGGTGATTGCTTGAAGCATGTAAGATCTCTCTGTCTAATCAGATTGAAATACTTCAAGAGAGAATTAATTTGGCAGTGTTTTGGCACTCGGAAATTACTGAGAGTGATCAAGGCTCTGTGCATGTTTAATTCTCTAGTGAATGCCTAATTTGATGCTTATTAGCCTGATGAAAAGGAGTAATCACCTTTTTCAACCTTCTCATGACTCATTTGCAGAACCAAAAGGGAAAAGATGGGATGTAGGGCATAGATCCTTGTTTAGACACCAAAATGACATTGGAATGGGCCATACATGTTGGAGAAGAGCAATTGGGAATGGTTACAGAGAGCTGAGGGTGGTTTCCCAGAAATCTTACAGGAAAACTGGATATGTGCATTGATCCTACTGCACTGGAGTTTGGGTTGTGGATGGGAAGTCTTCCCCTCAGCCTTTGGGATCTCAGGCTCTCAGGACAGGGATGGGTGGTGTTTTATTTTCCTGTAGACATTTATTGCTATTCCCATGAAAAATCTGTCTTCTTAAACAAGTCTTGGTTTGATACTTTCACTTGATCCTTGTTGTGCTCTAAAGGCTTTCCTTAATTAAAAAACAAAACAAAACAAAATTATTTGATTGGGAAATCAAACTGGTGAAACCATCAGCTGGATCTGCAGCAGGGCTGTGTGTCCAGAACCTCCTGATTTCATCTGGTTCAATTGACTTGTGGATTGGAACTCTTAGGGCTCCTTAACCAGCAGGGCCATCCTGACTGCTGTGTCCCTGTGTTTGTAGTATTCCTATTTGCTGACGAGCCAGCTGGAATCCCAGAGGATCTATTGGGAAAACAAGATTGTCCGGATCGAGAAGGACACGGCTGAAGAGGTGAGCTCTGCCCTGGGCCTCTGGGAAGGGTCCTGGCCCTGTTAAATGGGAGAAGAAGGAGCTGCTGCATCCCTGGCTGAGCCTGGGCGCCGCCTGCCGCAGCCTGCTCCGCTCCCAGCTGGGAAAATTGGCTCCAAGATGGATCTGTCCCTTGTCTGGCTGCTCCCAGGGAGCAATTTGCTGCTCAGTGGTGCAGAAGCAGGTAGATTGCCACAAAGATTGCAGCTTGATTTAAATGTGCTGCTGGGGAAATGCAGCAGTGGTGGAAGGCAGCGCGTGGTGCTGCAGGATCCCGGAGCCATCCGTCTCTCCGACACGGATCTCCAGGGAATGTTGGTGGAGCAGAGACAATATGACTTTAATTTGCTTGGCTGCAGAAGGTGGAACTGTCTCTCTGCTCCAAATGCATATTGATTTGCCCTTTCTTTTTGATCCCTTTTCTCTCCTCATCACCCTTTGGGAAAAGTTCAGAGTCTCCTCCTATAAAGCATCCTGCAGGCAGGACTGCTTCAAAATGTCACCACGAAAAATCCAGGGAGGATATTCTACTGCTTTTTTACTCTACATAGATCCTTTCAACCAGGTTTAAAGTGAGTCAGGATTTAGAATTAAGTCCTAAACTTTCTTCAGGACTTCTAATTAACCATTTAAGTGTCTGCAATTAAGTAAAAATAGAAATTATGACTGTTGAAATGGTAGTCATTGACCTTGTCCTAAAGAACAGTCCCAGGAATCCTATGGAGGGCCTTATAAAAGAAAAATATATATCAAAAATCATCTTGCAGGTGGCCAGGAGACACAATCCTCAAAGCAGCTTCAGAATGGAACCACTCTGATCCCTGCTTCAAACATGGTTTCACATTTAAAGATCCCAATAATTTTATCCAAGGCACTTGCTCCATGTAAGTCGTGTCTGGATTGGTGCCACCATGCAGTGTATTCCATTATCAGTGCTCAGGCTACTTCCCCAAATTAACCATCAGCAGCACCAACATTCCCTGATGAGGACTGGAAGGCTCCAAACCTGCTCTGCATCCATGTATGCTGACACTGACATTAGTCCAGACTGCTCCTCCAGGAAAGCATTTTCCATTAAATTCCTGCCCCACTGCCTGTGAGCATGCTGGAGGCACCAACAGAAGGGAAACAAGAATTCCTGACTCTAAATTTCCTTTAAATGTCACGCTGGAGCTTTGACAGCTGGAGAAGGAGAGCTTGGCTTTCTCCAGGAGCAGCAGCTGGAATGGGGCAGCAGAGGGAAGAGGAAGGCCATGGCCAGGGGATGTTTGTGTTTGTGGGAGGAAAATATTGGTGTCAGTGGGTCAGTGCCTTATGACAGCACTGCTGAGTCAGCCCCTGCTCATCTTCACACTCATTCTCTGAGGTTTAGCTTAAAATGAGCAAAAACCCAGCCTTGTAATGCCTTGAGGTGGAAATCTGAGTTTGCTGATGGATCCAGAACCACGAGAGAGTGGCCAAAGGAATGCTGGATGCAGGCAGGAAGAAGTTAAGGAGCTGCTGCAGCTTTTGGCAGTGCCTGGCACGGATCTGCAGCCGGAGTTGCTGTTCTGTGGGAGCAGCTTCCACGGCAACGTGGCTCCTTGGGAGGCTGGGATCCCAGGGTAACACGGGGGGTCCTCACCAGAACAAAGCCTTGGCTCCAAGCTTTCCTTACCTGGGGAGAGGAATTGGTCAAAGTCTGGAAACAGCTCTGGAAAACCAAGTGTCCTGACGAAAGGGCAGCGGACTTTGAGCTTTAGGAAATGCCCCTGTGTTTGTTTTTACAGATTAACAACATGAAGACCAAATTTAAAGAGACCATTGAGAAGTGTGACAGTCTGGAACAGCGGCTCAATGACTTGCTCAAAGAAAAGCAGTCAGTGGAGAGGAAGTGGGTACCACTGCCAGGTTTAGTTCCATGCAGCCATTAAAACACCGTGCACTGACATCCAAAAAGAAAAAAAAAAAAAACCAAAAAAACCCTGCTATTCCTGGGTTTTGAGCTGTTTAAGCTGCAATACTGAGAACATGGCTGCTTTAAAAAAAGCTCAGATTTCTGTAGGTGTTCACAAATGGGAAGTGTCTGAGTGAGCCCAGCTTTGGGGCCATGAGCTCCCTTTCCACGCTCTGCATGTTTGGCATTCAGGGATCCTTCTTCTCCCTGCTCCAAGGGAGTTGCCAGCCTGTTCTGCCCTTGGTGGGTGCATCCAAAGGGATCAAAGGCAGCTCAGCAGGGGCATCACCCAGCACTGGGAAAAACACAAGTCTTGGGAAGTGCCTGGAGGAAAGATGTCAAGCCTGGGAATTGTGGATCATGCAGTCCTTGGGTGGGACTGTGTTCCTGTTCCTCCCAGCCCAGGGTCTGTCCAGCAGTCCTGGCTGGAGCAGGGAGCACAGGCACTGAGCTCCATGCAGCTCACCTTCCTGAGTGGGAAACGGGCAGAGGAGGGTGCCAGCAAACTGCCAGGACAAAAGCAGAGTTGTTGGGAGCAGGAAACCCTGTCTGTGAATCACAAGGCTGATACCTTTGTGGGAGCATCTTCCTTCCCAGTGAAATGGTATTTTGAGGGTCTTGGAGTGCCCCTGACTGCCCTCAGCTCTCTCAGGGTGCCTTGTAATCCTTGTGCCCTTTTTGGCACCCATTCCTGTTGCCTGTGCTGTTGGCATTTGGCATGAGATGGAATTGCCTGACCTGGGGAGGATTTCAGAGTCTTCTTGTATTGCCTCCCCTTGCCCATCTTTGCTGGAAAACCAAATTCCAGGTGGTGTTGGTGGGCTGGGGGTCAGTTATCCAGTGAAAAGGCTGAGGTGGTGTTTGGTCTGGGTGGGCGGTGCTGCTGTCCTGACTCCTGCTTCTCCCTGCAAGGTGTTCCCAGCTGAACAACAAAGTGGCAAAACTCTCCAATGAGCTGAAGGAGGAGCAGGAACTGAACAAGTGCTTGCGAGCAAACCAGGCCTTGCTGCAGAACAAACTGAAGGAGGAGGAGAGGGTGTTGAAGGAAACGTGTGAGCAGAAGGACCTGCAGATCTCCGAGATCCAGGAGCAGCTGAGGGATGTCATGTTCTACCTGGAGACACAGCAGAAAATCAACCACCTCCCAGCTGAGACCCGCCAGGAGATTCAGGAAGGACAGATCAACATTGCAGTGGCATCTTCTGCCAGCTCCTCCACGGCAGGCACGGGCAAACCTTCCTCCAGGAGAGGCCGTGGCAAGAGAGGGAAATGAGACCAGGAATTCTCTGCTCCCACCCTGGAACTGGCTGTGCCAGCAGCAGGCCAGGCTCACCTCGGGATTCGGGCTGGAGACAACCAGCTCAGTAAAGCTCAGCTAGAAATTGTCTCCAGAGCTGCTCATAAAACTGGCTGCCAGTCGGTGGAGGTGTCTGTGGTATTTAAAAGCATTTCACTGCACTATTTAGCTGTTTTTAGGCAGATCTTGGTGACCATTTTGCCTTCCCTCCTTTTCAGAGCCCCTCCTGTCATGCATTTGACTTTGTTGGAGAGTGTTTTGGGGTGGGGGGGTGTGGGGTGTGTCCATGTCCAACATCCCATTCCCTGCAGGGGTGCCATAGAGCAGGCTCAGCCCGGTGTGTAAGGCTTCTCCAGTTCTCCTGGATTAAAAGCATTCTCAAGAAGTAATTTAATAAACAGTGTAAATTAGGTTATATACATCTCCTTTTAGTATGTGCAGTCCTGACACTGCAGAGCTGCCTGTGCAGGAGTAGAACTGTAGTGTGGAAAGAAAAAGGAGTGAGGTGTGGAAAATAAACCATCTTAGTGGTGTAAGAAACCAGGCAAGTTCTAAAGGCCAATGGTCTGGAAATTTCTCTTAATTTTAAAGGTGGCCTTTGAGAGGCCAGTGCTTGCTGTGCTGCCTGTGGGGCAGAAAGGGTGGAAGCTTTGTGTTCTGAATGCTGTTTAATGTGGTTATTTTAGAGGTATTTCTACAAATTAAGAAGAATCATCTGTGAGTTGGGGAACGCACTCCCAGTGTCCCAGCGCTCCTGGAGTTGGCTGCATGTGTGTCCCCTGCCTGAGCTGCACTGGCAGTGCTGCTGTAAGCTCCAGAGCTGTTCTCCTCAGAGCCAGGTGAGGAGAGAGGGACAAGCACAGCCTTTTCCAGACTCTTCCCACATTCTTGGAGCTGCTGGGAGCCGGAGGCCTCAGCAGGAGCTGCAGCTCTTGGTTCCAGTTCCTGTGCTCACCAAAACGTGGCACTATCCACAACCTCAGCTGGCAAAGCTTCTGTGTGACTTGCCCCAAAGGGACACAGGACCTGGAAGGGAATTTTATGCACAAATCTACTTTGGTTTGGGTTTTTTGTTGGCTTTCACTTAGAATCTAAGACTCGATGCTCTGGGGTGGGAAGTTTTCCCCTGGAGAAGCGACTGTCCTGGTTGTTGTGCTCAGAATCAGAGCATTTAAAGGCTGATCTTTCGTTAAAAATGGCAGGGGAGTCCCCAGTTGTCTTCCCAGGCCACAGGATGATCCTGATCCTTGTTGGAACAATCATGACCTTAGTTTGGAACACTGAAACATCTCTGGCTGAGGAGGTCCAGCCTGGAACACAGGCATGAAACAGCCAGTCCTTTATAGCTAAAGTTGTTCTTTTTTTGGCCCATTGTAAGGGACAAGTCCCAGTCCCTGGAATGACCCCGGCAGGGCGGGTGGTTCTCATCTGTTTCCTGGCTACATGGACAGAGAGAGTTGAACTTCCTCACTGGAATTACAGGGCTGTTAGTGCACTCTGGGTATCCCCTGCTTGGGTTTGGAGATCTGCCCCCACCACCTGGAACCTGGACCTTTTCTGACTTTGTAGCAGGAATGTACACTCACTTTTCCAGTGTGTGGATTGTATTACCAGGCCTCTGCCTTCTGTAAATGACTCTAAGGACCTCGAGATGTACAGCACAGCTTGCTCTCCTAGAGAAACTATTTTATTTAAGATATATTTTTACACCATTAAGATCCTCTGACCTTTTGCTGAAGGCTTGCTTTGTGTAGAACACTAAAGATGCTGTACTGTATCTTGGAATTCATTTTCAAAAAATGTGATGGAAAATTAAACCAGCGTGCAGTTCTTTCTGTCTGTGTGTTCCACTGGAGGGGAGGGAGGAGGTTATTTTGGAAGTCTGATAGTTTTTAACTCAAAGGCAAAGCTGTCCAAATGAGCTCTTGGCCTTCTTTGGGCTTGGAAAGTTGGGTCCAGCTGAGCTGATAGCAGCAGATAAGGCTGGGCAGTTACCTCTGGGCAGCTTGTGCAGAAAAAGCAGGAATTGGAAAAGTCTCTGTTAAACCAAATAACTCTCAGTCCTTGAGTCCCCTCCAGCTTCTCCTTAAACCATCCCAGGTGAGCAGAGAGCCTGCAGTGTCTGTCTGGGTGTTTAATTCACTGCTCTAGATCATTGGGACACTCCTCCTTCCCTTGGGACACTTCCCACAAGGAAATGGGGCTTGTGGTAAAGGGAAAGGTCCCAGCTCGGGCTGGGCTGTGACTTTTCCTTACTCCTCATCCGGACCCACAAGTGCCTGGAAAAAGCTTTGGCACTGGCACCTCAGCCTGTGGTCAAATTGTGACATCAGCAAGTGGAGCAGCAGGTCAGCGCTGGCTGTGACTCACTGTCCCCACAGCAGGAGGCTGCAGCAGCGAGAAATTCCCCAGCACTGGACAGCTGAGATTGGCTGAGCTCCTGCTGTGGTTACAACCCTTGAAATAGACTTTTTTTAATTTGGAAATCCTGGAAGGAACACACCTTTCCCCAGCTTACCAGCACAGGGGTTTGCTGTGCTCCCTGCTTGGGAGGGAAGTTTTGGGCAGCTGGGGGACACTGCACCATGACAGGAATGTTCCCCCTGAGCCATGGCAAAGCTGGGTTGGCAGTTTGGGATGACACACCTGACATTGCTGTTTCTGGTTCCAGGGTCTTGTTCATTTTTTTGTCCCTTGGGAAGAACCTGTCCCTTAATACCAATTCATCCCCTCCATGTCACCATTCTGTAGAGGAGCCAAAGTCCTGGGTGAGGTGACATCTCTGGCTTGTGCCCAAGGAAAACCATCTGTCTGAGCTGGAGCCCCCCATGGCCATGCCCTTCAAGGGGCTGCTCTGCTGTCCAACACCCTCTACCTTTCCCCTGAAGCCCAGTTCCCTAAGGCCCACTGGAAAATTCCTGCCTTGATCTGCACTGACTTGTCTGTTTTCCTTTGAGCACTGAGAAATTCACATCCATTTTCCCAAAACCTCCTTCCCCACTTTTTTTTTTTTTTACATAAATGGGCATTTTGGTCTAATAACTGTGTTTTAAAGGTAAACTCATCCAGCTGCTCCAAAGGAGATTCACACCAGGAGAGCCAGCAGCATTTGGGACGTGTTTTGCAGCACAGGAGGGATATTTGTGTATTCCTCCCGCAGCCTGAATTCCTGCACACGTTTCCCAAGGCAAGAATTGTCTTGTGTTCACCCCAGAATCCAAGGAGCAACAGTAAAACAGGGACAGGTTTGCTGGGAGCAGGAAGCAATCAGAGATATTTGCTTTCATTCCAAGCAAAAGCCCCACACCTACAGCTTCCTGCCCCTGCACCACTCCTGAGCAAACATTATTTATAGCAGCAAGAGCAGTTATAGCTTTGCCCCTTCTTGACCTGGAAGTAATTGGTTAATTGAGTTAGACAACAAACCTCAACACACTCGCGTGGTTTCCTTCCACCCTCTCCCAGGGAGCTGGAGAGTCAAACTCCTTCCATCCCAAGCTGGTTAAAAACATCAAACACCTCCAGGAGAACAATGTTTACTTCCCCACCAGGAAATTGGGCCCTGTTGAACCTTCTTCAGGACCAACTGCTCCTCCAAAGCTGCTGCACCTGGGGGGGGTTGCTGCAGAGCTGGAGCTGAGGTAGGTGGGGGCTCTTTGGGGAGGGTTTCCTGAGCTGTGCTGAGGCTGGAAGCTGTGGAAAGCTTTGCTGCTGCTGGGAGCTGAGCTCTGAGCTCACCAGGAAACTGAGATTTTGGTTTTTGCAGGTTCAGAAATGTGCTGATTTGGTGGTTAGAGAGGTTCTCTGGGTTTGTGGGCCCGAGGGCAGTGGGTGAGGAGAGCTGTGTTATGCACATACTTTATTCCCAGCCTGAGATCCTGGTTGTGCTGATTTTCCTGGAGACAGACTGCTATGAGCTGGTTTCTTTGCCTGTTTTCTGTGTCCTTATGTGGTGGCAATGGCCTCGGAGGACAATGTCAGTGTGGGATGCAAAGATGATGCTTTTGACAATAATTTACAGGCTTCTGCCTCCCAGTCTCCTCTTCCCTCATTTTATGTTATTTGTGATATTTATCAGTCTCCACTGATGTGGGACATTCTTTGGGGAAGAAGAGCCTCTTGCCATGTACAGCAGAGGGGTTTAAGCAGGTGAAGCTTGGGAAAAGCTCCTCTTTGGGGTGCTGGGACACCCCCACTTACAGGTGCGAATGAGGTTCCAAAGCAGCTTCATGATCTGTGTGTCAGAGTTCTGTAAAACTAAACCAAACTCACAATAAATCATTTTAGCGTCCACACCAGGACTAGATCTCCCAGAACAATTCCTCTGCACTACTGGGAATCTTAGCCCAACAGAATTAACTTAGGCTGGAGAAACTCCTGGTGCTGTTGGCTGGAATCCATGGTCTGTGTGGAAAACCTGTTGGAAAACCTGTGAGGGCTGGAAGAGCTGAGTGGGAGATGTGGCCAAGCGAGATGGGTGAGCTGGAGTTATCCACAGTTATCCACAGGACACAGGGATGCTGCTGCAGCTGGAGGAGAAGCTGGATGGTCTTGTCCAAGCACAGCTGTGCCAAGAGTTTCCTTCTGTAAGTGCAGGGCTTGCACAAGGAGCAAAGAGAACTTTTCCCAAGCAATTCTCATTGGCAGCTTTCAAACATGCTCTGGTTTTCTGGTGGAGAAGAAATCCCAGCTGGATTCTGCTTGTTCAGTGAAGGAGGACCAAGAGCCAAGTGCTGCCCTGGGATCTGGGAGTTCCTGGCCTCCAACCCTTCCTGAAAAACCCCCTCAGTTTCATCACAAGATGCCAAACACCTTGTCCTCCTTCCAAAAAAATCAATGTGGAGGAATGATCAATGGTGTAAAAGCCGAGGCTTATGTGGGAATGCAGGCAGAACTCTGCAATCACAGCATTTTCCTCTGCAGTGATCGAGTCAAACTGCAGAAGCAGTTTAAGAGGATTAGATATTTTTGATCATATTTGCAGCTGTTCTTGCTGTAAGTGAGAGGAGAAATCCAAATGTGTCGCCTTGGGAAGTGACTGAGAGCCTGGAAGGGAGTGCTGCCTTTGCAGCTGGGGTGTGCTCAGACCCTGCTGCATCCCGAGCCATGAGGAGCTGTCATTTCTGCAGCTGGAATTGTGGCACTTGGCTCCCTCAAAGATCCAGGCTCCAGTGGAAACCTCCCTGTGGGCCAGCCTGGATGCAGGACTCTGAGCTGCAATGGTGGCTCCAAAGTCTCTGAAGGCTGAGGTTTCCCAGGGGCCACAGCTTAAACAAGGAATGCTGTGGAAGCCCTGCCAAGTTCAGAGCCAGATGTGAGAGAGGAGATCCCGCCCTGGACATCACCAAGGATTTCTAGCACTGCAGTGCTAAGTACTGCAGTTAATTCCACTGTACAGTTAAATTTCAGTGTCTATTCTCACACATTCAGCACTGTTGGAGTCCAAATAAAAATACCTGACTGTTCCCATCAAACCCATCCCTGCAGAGATGCTGGGAATGTGCTGCCAGCACTGCAGTAGAAAGCTCCTCTCTTTTTCCCAAGGGACACTTCCAAAAGGCCCTTGGCCCCCAGGATGGGATGAGGGCGAGTATGGGATCCATTCATCCCTTTTTCCTTTCTTCAATAAAAAATGTGGCCAAGGAAGAAGACATTGCTCCTTGAGCCATGTGGTTGCTGGAAGTGCTTGGCCCTGCTCACAGGAACTGCCTGGGCTTTCCCATCTCCATGGATGGAGCCTCACTTGATGCCCATGTCCAGGACTGGCAGGTTCCTCCTAAAGCCAAAATCCCAGATCTGAGCCCCACATGAGACATCCCAGAGGAGGGGAAAATTTCACATCTCACTTCCAATTTGCCTGATGATTTTAGCACAGTGAACAGGGGAAAGAGCACCAGAGGTAACAAATTCAACCCTTTCCAAACACAGTCATGTGGTTGTCATCTGCCAAAAACATAAACCACAATCATAATCCTAAATTTGTCCTTTGAACATACCTGTGCCTGCTCTGTAGTAGTTTCCTTCTAATCCTCAGGGATTAATCCTGAAGTACGTTGAAACATCTGAGGTGAAGGGCTACTGTGGAAATTCCTTGCAGGCTGGTAATAACAACTGAAAGCCGCTCTGTGAAGCAAACCTGAGGCTGACTTGGTTTTTAATGGACATCTGTCTGTAGGGGGAAAAAATGCCATGGCAACTGGCTTTCTTGTTGGCACGGCAGCCTCAGCGAAGGGCTGGGGAGAGGATGGGTATGGGAGGGTCTGTGTGGCTGTGCTGGGAAGCCTGGAGGTACAGCTCGGCCAGGCTGGGAGGCAAAGGTTGTTTATGCTCTGTGAGCACCAGATCTTGAGGGATTTAACAGCTAAATCTTGGCATAACGATTGCTTTGTGTGCTGCTGCTGCTGCTGCTTTGCAGGAGCTAGGCTGGGTTCCCCCCTCCTCTTTCTAAAAATGTGAAATCTAAAGGCAAAAAAGCACCTGGTTGGCGATTTCCTGGCGCTTTGCTGGGCAGGGTTGGTGTCTCCCAGTTTGCAGCTCTGTCCCAATAATCGCTGCAGAGCCACAGCATCATCAGATGGATCCTGGAGCTTTGCTGGCTGAGGAAGGAAATGCCCTTCTTGTGTCCAAAGCCTGTGGAAATTGAGAGCAAGGGTCATTCAAGGGTTGTATAAGCTCTGGCACTTCTGTGCCTCCCTCCAGAGCTCCGTGGACATCAGCATTTCCCTTCATCTCCTGCTGGTTGCAGGAGAAGCAGCTGGATGCATGGCCCAGCAGGGACATCCATCTGCCATGCCCTGGCTGCACGGCTGAGGATTGGGAAGAAATGGCAATAAAACTGCAAGTGCAGATCAAAAACTGAATCTGAGGGGAGCTGGTCTCTGCTCAGAGCTGAGCTGGGAATTTGGGAGCTGGAAGCAATGGGAAGATCAGGGTAGGGGGGGAAGGCAGAGGTGGCAGCAGCTGTTCCAGGTGGCTGGTTTGGAATTTTGGGGTTTGGTTTTGCTGTGGTACCAATTCTGGTCTGGCCAGGGGTGTGTCCTCAGTCAGAACTGAGGGCAGCTTTGCTGACGAGCTACATCGTATCTCTCTGGGAAGCTCTGCCGTGTGTCAGCACCTGATTTGTTCTCTTAATATCCTTCCAAGTGTTTGGAGATCCCTGTGCTCACAGCACTGTCCACAAAGCTTTACCCTCCGAGAGGAGGGGTGGGAATAATGGCACCGAAGAACTGAAATCTTCAGGGAAAACACGTGTGTGACAAAGCTCAGCTCTCTGAGCTTCTCCAGCAGCTGATTTTGCTTAAAGCAGACCCCTGTGCCTGTGCTGCTGTCCCTGTGTACCCAGGCGTGTTTTGTCTTGCTGGATGCTGTTGAGGATCACCCTGGGTAGCTCAGGGAAGGGAGCACAAGACAACAGCAGGTTAGATCAAGGAAATGTTACATCACACGGCACTTCGGCACTTCCTGCTAAGTGCTGCTATTATCAGCCTCATTCATCTCCACATGCAAATACAGCCTGCACAGGTCCTCACACATCTGGAGGGAAATAGCAGTCCTGGAAAGGAGCAGCTCTGACCTGGATCGTGGACAGGAGAGGCAAAAGGGAACATGATTCTCCATTAGGAATTGTTTCCTTGCTTTCTTGATTGAATCCTGAATTTTTCTCCAGCTAAACCACCACATCCACTGTTCGCTGCTCTTTGTCACATCAATGACACCCAAAATGTCAGCTATAAATGGTGGGGAAGAGCAAAAAAAAGGGTGAGAAATTGATAAAACCAAGCGATAAAATAATAACTATTGGGAATGGTGGGTTATCAAGAAAAGCATATTCAGGAAGAAGTAAAGGCAATGATGTGCCCTAACAGCAGTAGAATCCCATTATACTGGGAATTTGGGGAGGAGGAGGTGTCCCTGGAGAAGGTGGCTGCCACTGAAACCACCCTGCAGCTTCTCTGGTGGTAATTGCTGAGCTATTTTAAATTATCACTTCTATATTTACTTTTAACCTGCTTTTTTATAAAGATACTCAACAAAGAAAAAAGGGAGGGCACAACGAAAGCCAAACAGAGCTTAAGAAAACAAATACATTGAAGGGGAAAACAAGTCAAACTGCAACTGCTCTTGAGTCATTACTGAGGATGTGAACGCCAGCCCATTCATACCCTGCTTTCTGAGCATGCAATGTCACCCTAAAATGTACTTTAGTGTGCTCATGTAATGTCTTAGAAACTGTCTCTGCCTGTGGAACTTGGTTCTGGTATTTTTTGACATTCTTGGCTATCAAGGGTTCCATCTTTGCCCCACAGCCCCTTCAAACTGCTGCAGGTGCTTTTGTGGTCCTTAATCTTCAGCCACAGAAACAGTCACTAACTGCTGTGAGCTGTGAACATTCCAGGCTGGAGAAGCATTGAAGTGATATCCTCTAAAAACCCCACATTGAGTGACCTGGACGAGTTCTACTCACTCTTTTATCAGACTTCCTTGTGCTTTTTATTAACAACTTCCTTTTCAAAGTTGCTCAAGGTTCATGACTAACCCAAAGCCGTAGAACTTAAAAAGAGCACCCTAAAGAGATTGGTTCAGAGATTCACGGAATATCCTGAGTTGGAAGTGACCCATAAGGATCATCCAGTCCAATCCTGGCCCTGCACAGACCCTTCAACATCTTCATAGCCTCTTTTGGGCCCTATATATTTCTTATATTTTTATATACATCTATATACTACTACAACTATTATTATTATCATTAGCATTGTTATTACTACTACTACTATATTGTTATAGATTGTCTTATATTGCTTTTTCATGCTAGTGTGTTTTGCACAAATATATATAAAGGATTTTTCTTAGCTGCTCTTAGGGATTTATTTATCCTATCACATACAGTGAACCAGATTCCTGCTCTTACAGTAAATGCTCCCAAAATTGGTGCCAGTGGTAACCTTTGAGGTGCTGACATCTTCCACAGAAACTCTCGGGCTCCAGAAACCCTCAGTGTCCTTCTCACTCAGTTCTGTGGCTGTGAAATAGTGAAGCATCTTGTGAGTTCACTGAAAAGATTAAAAAATTAAATTTCTTTAAATCACCATCTCTGTTAAGAGTATTTTCTATGGGAAAACTCAATGCTGAGCCCATTGGGGTAGGATCTGTCATCTAGCTTAGAAAGTGCTAACCACAAGGTTACTTGGGCCTGTGAGGTAAAACAAAGCAATCAGTTTAAAAGGTAAAATGTAAGGAAAATGCTAATTTAAGAAAGCTGTTCAATATTTTATCTTTTTACCATTGTGTGCTGCCACCCACAACTCTTTCAAGCGCATGGGAAAGCTGTTGCTTTAGGAGCAAGGTGTATAAATAATGCCTGCCTAAGAGCACTGCTCCTTTTTATTCCTTTGGAATCCTGTGGGATTTCTAGAGCATTTCTATGAATAGATTAAACTCTGAGCATTTCGAGTAACCATGGCTATAAATCAATTTAGCTCTTGGTTTTCAAGTTGCATCTGCTCTTACTAATCCTGTATGTGCATCTTTTTTTAATTTTTTTTTTTAATAGGCCAGACCAGGCTTTATTTTTGTGTATGGGTTTTGGTTTGGTGAAATTCCCACTCTGCACCAAGCAGGTTCCACACACAACCACAGCACCCTGGATTTCTGCAGGGAGCCTGCTGATGGTGGACAGGTAACACGGAGTGAGGGGAGAACTGGCGTCTTGAGCTTAAATATTTTACCCATCAGCGCAATGCAAATTTAAATTTCATTACTAGGAGGGGAAGACGTGACTGCTCCGAAATGTGTAAGATGGAGGGGCACTGCAGGTAAAGCAGCCATCCTCCGGCCCCATCTTGCTTTCCCCCAGGAGCAGGGATGTGTTTGGCAGCGACGGCTCGGGCTCTCTGCGGATCACGCCCTGCCCTCCTCCCCCGGCTCGGCCATTTTTCCTCCATTTCGTTGTCTCTGGACGCTTGGATTCTTTTGAACGATGCGCTGCGGGCCGAGCCCGCCGCTCGCTGGGGCCCGGGGAGGGGCGAGCGCGGCCGGGCCGCACCAGGCCGCGGCCTGCGGGCCCGCAGCGCGGGGATCGCGGCCCGCGGGGGCCGTGCGGGGCCGACCCGCCCGGTGTCACCGGAGGGGGCTGAGCGGGCTCGGGGACTCCCCCGACCCCGCCGGGGCCTCACGGCCGGGCCCGGCGGGCGCTGCCGCCGTCCCGCGCCGCCGCCGCCTCACGTGTCCCCCCCTCCCTCCCCGCCCCTTCACCCGCCGCAGCACCGCCGCCGCGCCCTCCGACTTCCCGTAAAGAGTCCGCGCCGCCGCCCGCCCCGCGCCCGCCGCCGCAGCCCCGCCGCCCCTCGCCGGCCCCGCGGGGGTGCCCCGAGCCCGCGGGTGTGGCCGCCGCGCCCCCCGGCCCCGCCGCCGCCCTCACCCCGCGGCGCGGCCCGGCCGCCGCCCGCCCCCCCCCTTCCCTCCGCGGATCCCTCCGCGCCGCGCTCCGCTCCCTCCGCCCCGCTCGCACTGTTTGGGAGCAACCGGCCGAGCCAGCGGCGCCCCGGCCCCGCCAGCGCAGCGCGGACCGGCCGAGCGCACCCAGCCCGGCGCGACTCCCGGCGCTCTCCCTTCCCTCCTCGCCATGTCCCTCAAGCAAGCGGCGGCGGCGGCGCAGCCCGCCGGCAACAACCGCAAGCCCCCCGGCGGCGGCGGCCCCGGCCTCCCGTCAGCCGCGGGGAGGCAGAACATGGGCAGGTGGGTGCGCAGTGCCACGGGACCGGCCCCGGGCCCGGCGCGGGCGCCGCTCGCCCGCCCCCGCCGCCCCCCTCCCCCCGCCCTCGCCCCGCACCGGCCTCCATGGGCGGCGGCGGCGGCGGCCGGGAGGGAGGGCGGGAGGGAAGGAGGGGGGGCGCGGGGCCCGCAGCATGGCGGGGCCGGGGCGGGGGCCGCGATGGCGGCGGGCGCGGCGCTGGCGGCCCCGCCGAGGGGGTTCCGCAGTGCCGGGGCGAGGCCGGGCCGCGGCCGGTGCCCTTCAGGCGCGGGGAGGGCACGGCGCCGAGGCTCCATTTCGGCCCCCCGCGGGGGCCCGGGGCGGGGGGCGCCGCTTCCCCCGGGCCGACGTGACCCGCCTGCTGAGGAGGGAGCGGGGGGAGCGGGGGGCGCGGGCCGCACGTGTCGGGGCCGGCGCGGGAAGGGCCGCGAGCGATGGCGGCGGGGCCGGGGGGCGGCCCGGGCGGGGAAGGGGGCGGCGATCCGGCCCCGCGATGGCGGCGCAGCGCCCTCGGCTCACCCGGGGGGAAGGGGGATATTAAAATAATTGTATTTTTAAATTTATTTTAATATCTAGGGATCGTTATTATTTGTAAATTTTTTTTTTAGTATTTTTGTTTGATTTTTTTTTTTTAATAATGGAAATCGCAATAAAATTCTCGCGGGAAGGCGGGCCTCGCCGCGCCGCTGGATGGTGGCTCCGAGCGCGGCCTCGCTTTCTCCCAGATTTTTGGGGCAGGAATCTTGCAGAGGCTGAGTCCGCTCCTCGCCTCCTCCCCCCCCACGCTTGCTGCCTGTGACAGATTGATCCTGCTCCTGCTCTCAGATCATTAGCTACGCAAATCCACTCACATTTTCCCCCTTTCTTTCCCCTCACATAATAAACTCTATAGTGCTGTGAATTTTTCCCGGGCTGCAGGGGTCATAACAAACGATCAGAGCAGGACATTAACAGTCCTGAAGGTCACAGTCACTCAGAGCAGTTTCATTTCGAGTTTTATTCATCTTCCTCTTCAACTGGACGTTTAATCGCGCTCGGTTTTGTGCGCTGGCAATAAAACAGAATTTACAGTGGCCCCATTGTTGGACATCACTGGAAATAGGGTTTTACTTTGTTCCCAGCCAATGGAACTGGAAGCGGAAGAGCTTTGGAAGGGTTGAAAAGGACAAAATAAATAACAACAACAATACCTCAGCAGCTCACAGCACCGATTTAATAGTTTTTACATATGGCATTAGGTGGGACATGATGTTTACTGGGCTCTGTCCCTGCCAACACACAGTGGCACTGTAGAGGTTAACGTGAAGGGCAACAAAACTTCCAGCTTATTTTTTTAAATTCAGCCTGATGGCAAGCACTTGCCCCCATAGATTTGGACGTGTAAGCTTCAAATTCTCCCCCAAGTTTATGATTAAAACCACTGGATTTCTCCTTCCAGTGTTGCCTTTCTGGTTCTATTGGATAAATTCCACTTCAGAACTCCTCAGGGAGTTCTGATGGGGCTGCTGAACAACTGACGTGTTCCCTCAGAGGTGTTCATGCTCTTTGTTTCTTAATTTTTCAAGTTATTTCTGAATGGAGGGTCTGTAAAATCACAGTCCCAGGCCTGCTGGAGCCCCATGGAACACCTTCACAGGACTTCCCCTTGGACTTCTGGGGAGTGCAAATTCAAATATGGTTCATTCTGTAAATCTGGCCATGTGAATGAAAATTTAGGTGTCCTGCATCTTAGTATCAATTTGATGCATTATATTCTTTAATAAAAACTTAATCATCTCCAGTGTATGTCAAGCTTTCTGCCCAGCAGCTCATTTCCCTGCAGCACCAACATTCCGTGCAGAAAAAAAACCCACTATTTTTCATGGCTAAGTTGCTCTTGAAAGCTTAGTTTGGGCAGAAAACTCATTGATAATTAACTGTCCTGGCCCTCATTTTCTGCTGTGGGTTTGTTACTGGAAGAATTGGGCTGAGCACTTGTCCTTCTACCTCTGATCATGAGGGAAGGGTCAGCTCTGCTCGCTGCCTTGTCTCCATGGGTTTGTACTGCTGCACATCTGTATTTCAGATTAGAAAATGTAAAATCCCGTGTGAACAAGCAGTGTTTTTTTACCATCCTATTAATTGCTTTTGGACAAAGGGAAAAATCAGAAATGAAGGCATCCTTGAAGGCGTGTGAGATAAAAAAGAGGCCCCAAGTGGAGTGCTGTGTTTGTTTAATGTGCACTATGGCAGATGGGCTTGGGCTGCAGGGGAGATGCCAATAGCACAGCAAGCTGTAATTAGGGGGAATGTAGACTTGGTTCACAAACTTGCTCCCTGTGCTATCAGAACGTTATCTAACATCTACTTTCTGTGTTTTGAGTGGAGTTTTGCTGTTATGCAAGCACAGGAGGGTTAGCTGTCCTCTGGCTGCAAGTTGCATCTATCACAGCCTTCCTGCATCTCCATCCTCTTTTTGTTCCTTTTTCCCTATTGTTATTTTATCTGAAGGTAAAACACCTCAGGGTCAGGGTTTGATGTTTCTTGTCTTGTTACAATTGTGGCAGAAGGATTTTTCATTTTGGTAACTTGCTTGCCTAACTGGGCTTGGGGGATCCTGTAAGAATACACAGAGTTTCTGTCCTTTAAAAATGGCTTTTTCCCATCAAAAAGCTGAAACTGAAACCACCTCATGGTTCAGTCTCCAAAAAAAAACCAAAAAAAAAGACACAAACTTCTTGCCTCCATTTATTTTCCTTTTTCCTTGACATCCCTTTCTTGAGAGCATGGTGACTGTCCTGTCCAGAGGGAAAGGAAGGGGAATGTTGAATGCCAAGGTGCTGGAATTTAAGGGCAGTGACTGTTCTGAAGGCCTGCTCACACGTGCCAGTCAGAGGTTTTCGAGTTGCTTCTGACATCTTTGTGTGGGTTTTAGTGCTAAACAGCTGAGCAGAATGACTGCTTAACCTGCAGGCCTCTTATCACTGTGAGTGTGCTTTAGGGTGGTGTTATATCCCTGGTTTTGAGTAACTTTTAATTTAACAACTGATTCATGGCAATGTCTGTGAAGGTTCTTCCATGACTAAGGCCATCAACAGGTTCCAGGTGTGCACTGGGCCAGACCTGAGTCAGGTTGTTACATATTCACATGCTGTAGAAGCTGTCACCCTGTGTGGAGATGGGAATTGCCATTATTGATGTCAGTATTGGGGGGAAAAACTACAGAAAATAAAGCTGCAGGACTTCTTGCATCATCTTCATTTGACATCTTCGATTCATTTGACTTTATAGAGTCAAACACTGCATTGAAATAAAACCTTGCACTTCAGATTTCTCCCTTAGAAGAAAAGCTTTGCCAACTCTCTGCACTAAAGTTCTTTAGAGTACCCTGTAAATTTGTTTTCCAAGCTGCAGCAATGTCGGTCAGTGCTCCAGAAACATCCATTCACACTTTAAATTCGAGTCTTTGTAGCTACATTTCTGCTTCAGACTTTAATTGCAGTGTGGCTGCATTTTTTTCTTTGTTTCAAAGTGAAGATGGTGCTGGAAAGAAAACTGGAGACTTTCTTTCCCATCCAGGAATGACTTTGTTTCCCTTGCAATAACTGGGAAAATACAAATGCGTGACCTTGTTTTGCTTATACAAACACTCTACTTGGCATGTAAACATTAAGGAGGGAGGTGAGGGATGCTGAGGAAATACTCATAAAAATAGAAAAAAATGTGTAAGTTGTTGCTGGGAAAAAACATTACTAGTGTAGTTTTTGGGCCCCGATGGAGACTTTGCTTCTTGAGGTGTAACTGCTGGACCCAAGGAATTGCCACTAAGTTTAATTGCTCAGATGTTACTTTGTCCTGAGTTTGTAACTTTGCTACCCCAAAGCAAAGGGTTTCCAGCTTGGATTTGCCAGGCTGTCCTGCCTTCACTCAGGTTTACCTTTAACCACATATGTGCAATGCAAAATAATTTTTTTTAAATTTTTTGCCATATTTACCCTAATGAAAATGCGATTTTAGGTAACAGTGCCAAGTTCCTAGATTCCCTCACCTCCATTTCTTTGTGTTACTCTCCTGTTCCAAATTATGTTAAACATCTGGCAAAACCCATCTACTTTCTGCTTTTGTAAAGGTCCTGAGGTTTTTTTTTTTTTTTTTTTTTCATATGTTGCATCAAAGATAATGTCAAATGATACTTTGAACTTGAGTCTTCACCTTTTGGAATATGAAACTCGAGTTGATGGCCTTGGTTTTAGCAGAAGATACAGTTTTGGCTAAATTGTTGCATTGGTAGCATTGGTAAATATATTTATTCTCTCATCTTGGTGAATATGTTGGGGTTTTTTTTTCCCAATGGTTTGTGATTAACAGTTGTAGCTGGAAAACAAGAGGTCAGATCTATAAAGAGACCTGACGTATCAGAGAATTTCTGCTTTAATTCTTGGCTGATGTAGAAGTTGGGACTTCTTGCTGATGTGGATGTGCACAATCAGTTTGTTTCTTGAAGAAGTGTGGGTAGGAAGAGTAATTTTGGAAATGTGGTAAGAGATGGAAAATCTGGAATACTCGGGTTGATGCTTAGAGGGAATACTCCAAACTTTCTGCCTAGTCTAGGAACCCAGTTATTTCAGGTCTAAGAATACTTTGTCACTAAAAATGGGAGTGGTTTCTCTTGTAAAGACAAGAAACTCTTTCACTTTTGATCTGTAGCTGATGGAGGAAAAGGAGAATCTTCTAAAACCTAGGGCAGCAGATAGAACTGGTAAAGTTCTTTGACTTTGGCCACGTTCTGAGTGACCATGGTCATCCCATTTTTGATTGTAGTAGAAGAAAAAATCAAATTGGGCTGTGCCTATTATGTGAGGGCTCCACATCTGGTGAAATTACTTCCAGATAGAGGAGAATCTGACTATTATGCAAAAATTCTGTTCCAGGTTCACAAGGCTTCGGTTCTCTTGGAGGCCATTTAACAAATGTAAGATTTGGTAAATGGTGAGATTTGCTCCAGAGCAAACCTGACATTGTGAAGCTGCCCTATGGAAAGTTAAGGATGATGGGTAGTTAAATAAAGGTTATTTGCATTAGATTTTTTTTTTTTTTTTGTGAGATTAGCTCTCTGCAATATCCTGAAAATGCCTGCTGGGCACCCCAAATCTGCAGTTCTGCCGTCAGCCAATGCCCCCAGCATGTGTGATGCTCTGAGGTCACAGTTCTGTTGCAGAAGCTTGTTGGAAATGAGTCAGGTGATAGTTTAGTGGTTTTTCATTTTTTCCTCATTAAGGCCTTTCATGGCTCTCTGATGGCTTTGCTTATTTCGGCAGAATTTATTGAAGGGTTATTTATGTTCACTGAGAGAAGTTCCTTTTGATTTTTTGACTACCCTGTGAGCTCTCTTTTATAAGGGCCTATTATTCTGGGGGGTAGGTTGTACTCAGCCCCAGCTTGGTGTTTTTAAAAGCATTTGAATGCAGTTGGCATCTAATGAAGGTATTCAGGAGCTCTGAGCAACCTGGTCTAGAGGAAGGTGGCTTTGCCCATGGGATGAGGATGGATCTTTAAGGTCCTTTCCAACCCCAGCCATTCCATAATTCTGTGACATCCAGTTGGGTTTAGATTTCAGTGTTGTTTATGTAATACCAGACATGATTCTTCAGGTGTCTTTATTGAAATGGTTGTGTGTCAGTAGGGTGAGTCTATTTTAAAAATTGAGGATTTTTTTAATAGAACAGAAGATTTATTTTTGCCTCACATTACAGTGTGTGCTCCTGAAGTCATAACACAAATCTAAATCACTATAAGGAGTATTTGAAACTAGGACTTCTTGGTACAAGTGAGGAACTTAGAATTAAAGCACACCTGTACCTGGGAGTTGAAGAATTGGAGCTTTGGGGGACTTTTTTAGCTGCAGGGATGCTTTGGGGCTCAGGTGCCCAGGGTGGAGGGCACAGACTGACCCTTCTCAGTGTGCAGGGTGTTCTGAGCATCCCCAGGTGTCCTGAGTGCCACACAGTGACAGACTGGCATTAGGAGAAACTGGTATTTTTTGGGGAATGGACAGAATTATTGGGTTTGCAGGGTTGTGAGAGCAGTTAGAAATGAGCTCTGTAGGTAGAACCTCACAGTCTGGGCAGGGTCAGTTGTTTGGGTGGCCCAAATCTGACACAGTGATAATATTTGGAGCTTCCTGGCTCAAGGAAGCTGTGCTGTGTAGGGCTTGAGTCTGATCTTGCCTTTGTGTGCCATAATGTTTTGGATTTTGGATTGTTCTTTTATTTTTACTCTGATTTTAAAAGCTTAGTATTTTCTTCATTTTGTCCTTTAATTTATCCCAGGTCAGCAGGTTGGAGATAAACCCAGTGGGTCCTTGTCAGGCTTTGCTCTCTGGGTTTTCCTGACCCCATTCTCAACTCTAAATTGAGATGAGTTTGGAATTGTTGCTTGGTAGGAAACAGAGCAGTTTCAGCAGCTCTTTAATCATCTCCCATGTGTGTGTTTCATTCCAGAGGCCGCAGCAGTGGCAAAGGACCACCTCAGCCTACGGTGAGTTTGTGGTTTCTCCTCTTTGTGCCAGTGCAGGGTAGGAGGAAACAACTTGTCAGAATGGCAGATACTGGAATATTATCTTCATTTTTTCCTTGGGATACCATGGTGGGTGGATACTTTAGAGTGAAATAAATTTTCTAAAGAGTAGCATCTTGCATTCATTTAAGTCTCCTGGGAGGGTGAAGGGGGGAAGGTTCACTTAAACTTTTGACTGCACTAATATAAATATTCTGCATTTTCTTGCAATTACAGCTGTAAATATAAATAACATTTAACTTAAGGCAGTGCTTTTTGAATTAGTTCCTATCTGAAAATTCTAACATTGGCTTCTCCCTTAAACAGATAACAATAAGGCAGCATTTAATGAAATAAAAAGAGCTACTTTGTTTGGCTTTACTATAAAATTGCTGAACCATTGTTCTCATTAGTTCCAATGTGCAGCTTTAGTTGTTCTCAAGGCTGTGTATTACTGGAGTATAGATGTGGCTTGACTTGCATGCAGAACATCATTTTATGAGCTAAATTCATGGATCTTGATTGAAAGAGTGAATCTTTGAACTTCACTAATCAAATATTTGCCAATTTGTTGCTGGCTTGGTTTTCAAAGATGCCTAATTTTGGGGAATGGAGCAGAAGCAGGAAGATTTAAAAGGGCTGCAGTTTGCTTACATAAATGTTTATTGAAGATACCAAGACACTTGAGGAAAACTAAAGAAGCTTTGAGGAAAACTGGTGGAAAAGGTCATAGGGAAACACTAAACATCCCCAAATGTTGGTCTGGGTGTGCTGTGTACTGAGTGCTGACCACAGGAGTGTCCCTAAACTTGTCTGTTCAGCCCAGGAAAGTGGCTGACAGTTAAAAATACATTGTTAATTGAAAAAATCAGAATATGGTGAGATCCCAAGAGCTGTTTTAGCATCTCTTGTTTTACAAATACAAAGAGATACCAGGTATTGCAACAAAACACCTGCACTGAGGTGAATGTGTCCTCCAGCAGCCTGGGGACACCTGCCCAGCTCTCCCAGTCAGGATTACAGGTCCTGGTGCTTGCACTGAGTTACTTTGGACTAAATTAATAATAGGGTTTGTGGCAATTTAGTACTGCACAATTTGATGGCTTTAGCTCCTCTTAATGTGTGTAATCAGGGCTGGGAGATGAAAGGATGAGGTTGAGCAGGCCTGAAAACATCATTTTGCTTCTGCAGCTCTGCAGGTACCCTATTCTCTTGATGGTTCTTAAAACCAGCAGGGCTTTTTTTGTTTAAAAACAAAGCCCTGCTGCCATCCCTCAAATCTGTGCATATCAGCTGCACCCAGCCAGCCAGAGAATTTCCTTAATGGAGTGACATTAGGGGCTCTCCTGGGATTTTTAGCTTTTTTGGAAGGGTGTTTAGATCTTTAACTGGTCAGAGAAAAGACAAGGGCCCTCTGAAGATCTCCCCTGGCATGTTTAATATTACTATTTAATAATAAACATTCCATGTATCTTGCCTGAGTAAGATTATTACCCAATGTCCCTGAGATTTTCTGTGTACTGATGAAAGCCTGAGTTGGGTTGGGTGCTCTGGCTTTTGGAATTTCTTCAATATTCATGATGGCTTTCTTATTTTTCAGATTTCTTTTGATGGCATCTATGCAAACATGAGAATGGTTCACATACTCACATCAGTTGTTGTAAGTCTTCATATTTGGAAGAATGGTTCCTATATGGCAGGGAATTGTTAACTAATCCACTAATTGTAGTATAAAGGAGTGAATACTAAACTTTAAACACTTTCTGCCAAGGTTGAGTTTTAAAGGATCACAGAAATTTTAGGCTTGGAAAGGTTTAGCTCTGATTTGCAGAGGTACAGCAGATTTCTTAGGTGCACTGGTTGTATTTTGGATTTCCTGTCTTTAGAGAGGTTCTGGATAAATAAAATGAGTCCATGTGCAGGTATTAGAAACCTTTCTCCCAAGATTTTAAGGGAAGACCTGACATGGCAAAATGAAGTAAGGCAGACTGTCCCACATCTGCTTGAGGCCAGGATAAGCTTTTATCCTTATTTGTACTCACACAGGCACAGATTTGGGGTTTGCACAAACCCTTCTTTGTGTATTCTAACTGGTCAAGAGTCTTGTGAGAACCAAATATTCTCCAGTGAATATCTTAAATCCCTTCAGAACTGCCCATACACACCCAGCTATTTGAATTTGCAGAGCACAGCAGTGTATTTATAAATGGGCAGATGCTGAATGAGGAAATTTGGCTAAAAATTGAGCTGTATTTTTACGCTTTGGACCTATGTAAAGAACACATGCTTAAGAAAATCACTGTCATGTCATTTGTCATATTGGTAGAAAGTTATATTCTCATTTTTTGTTGCTTTCTAGGGATCCAAATGTGAAGTACAGGTGAAAAATGGTGGTATATATGAAGGAGTTTTTAAAACCTACAGTCCTAAGGTAATATTTTACATTTTGACTCTTCTCTATTGTGAAAATTCCTAATAACAAATAACCAACATTCGATCAAAATGTAAATATTTACTCTGAATTATTTTTACTATTCATGCCTAGATTTAAAGCAGACTGTAAATACCTAGTTTTTGCAAATATGTGACATTTTTGAGGGGATGAGTGTGCAGTAAAGCAGTGCCCTGTGTTTGTATTTCCCACAGTGTGATTTAGTGGTTGATGCTGCTCATCGGAAAACTGCAGAATCCAGTCTGGGGCCAAAACGGGAGGACATCCTTGAGAGTATCTTGTTCAAGTCTTCAGACTTTGTTATGGTGCATTTTAAGGATATGGATACCAATTATGCCAGAAGAGGTATATTTGTTTCAATTTTTTAAAAAATGTTTTAAGATTATAATTCAAGTTTTTTTGAAGTAGATGCTTTAGGATCCAAAATACTGAAGTTCATATTTAGATTCGTAATTCATAAAGAGTACAAAACTTCAGCACCTTGTGAAATGAGAAATTCATAAATTAAAAAAAAATGTATTTTTGAGTGGCTGTTTTGGTGTCTGGAAAGCAAAGCCTTAGTGGTTTTTCAGAATATTTTATAGATTCTATGGGAGGTGGACACATTTCTGTAAATATCTTTTTTTAATTTCTCTGTTAAGTGTTACACAAGAATCATTGAATACAGAACCTCTTTGAAAAAAGGTTATTTTTCAGAGTTGAGATATATAGAGTCTATACTGAGGTAACTTCTGTGTCTAAAATGCATTCATAGAAATATTCTACAAATACTCCTGCAAACAAAGCTAGAAATTCTTTTAAAATCCTCTATCAGTGTTTTTATTTCTCCTTTACTTCTTGTAGACCTGTAGGTAAAGCTCATCAGAATACAGAGAGGCGACAGACAAATCTTAAAATCTTGAAGACATTGAAACTGTTCAAATTAAACAATTTTGCAGGCAGTCTTCATACTTTTAATGTCTGACCTCCAAGCTCCTGATTATTTTTCTGGAACCTAAGAGCTCATGAGTCAGTTCTATTCCTTTGCAGATTTCTCTGGTTTTGGACAGCAAATCTCCACAGTCTTTATGCTTAATGTTGCTGATTTGCTGGGATAAGGAATAAAAGGAAATACAGGTTTTTATGGCATGGGGTGAAATTGTCTCTGTGTACATTTACAGGCTGATTAACAACTGTCACAGGAGCTCAGTGGTTATTGGAACACAGGTTTTATTCCCATTAGCAGGGACTTAGAGATGGGTAGAGACCTGAGGACATTTAATGAGAATTTCTCTCTTCACCTTGTGTTTGTACCTGTTCTTGCCTGATCTAAAGCTGCAGAATGGGAGGTTTGTTGTTTCAAGGAATTTTTGCTTTTCCCAGATGATGATGCATAATGTCAGAGCAAATGCAGCATTGAAATGCAGATAAGTTCCAGGTTCTGGATGGGACTTGGAATTTAAATTACATGAGAGCTGTTTTATAATGGGTTTGGTATGAACATTACTTTAATGTAAATGCAAACTGGGCTCTCCCTCACCCAATCTTTATAGATTTTGAGCTGACTGAATGAGGAATATACTACTGCTTCTAGGAATAATTGCTCAGTGGACATTTTCTAGAAGAAAATGACTGTTTCAGGTTGAACAGTCCCTCAGTTCACTTTATTAGGTGGAATGACTGAGTCTAAATCTCTTAAATACTGGAGAGCTGAAATAAAGCCATAAAAACTTGAAGATAAACTGGAAGGCTGCAGAACTTGATACGTTAGAGTGGGTGAATTAATCTGCTTTCAATTTTGTCCCAAAATACATTATCTGGAAGTGACACTTGAAAGTGTAACTCAGTCTCTGATCACACCTTCAAATTAGAGCAATGAGGGGCTTTTTGCTTCCTGGGAAATTAAATAAGCAAGGATTCAAAAGGCTGGAAGTTTGTGAATGTGCATGAAGGAACTGCTGGCCTTTGTTCTTGTAAATAAACCCAAATCTTTGTGGTACTGGGTGATTTAGAGTGAAAACTGACTGTGAACTCCTGCCTGAGAACTTGGTGCTCCTTATTTTGGGAATTGTCCTTGCTTGGTGCACTGGTTACATTTTTACCTAGGAACAGAGACTTTTAATTGTCTAACCCTCAATGGTTTTTGTTTTTCACAGGCAGGTGAGGAGAATTTGGGAATACTTGGTTGGAAAGGCTTTAAAATCATAGTCAAATAAAAGGGCTTTTCATGAGCTCTCCTTTGGGAGGCTTAGCTGGAGTAAGGATGTTGGAGTCTGATGATTCTTGTGGGTCCCTTCCAACTCAGAATATTCTGTGATTCTCTCTGTGTAGTTTCTCACCCTGTAGGAGAATTTTAGATTTTGTGGAGCCTTTGAACTAAATAAATAAATTTCTGCAGAAGATGTTTTGAAAATTTTAATATGTCCTAATTCAATATAAGTATCTATGGATTTTATTCTGGCATTTGTTCCCTGCTGGGCTGGAGGAACGTGATCAAATGGGCTCCTGCCTGTGGGTCTGGATCTTCTGGTCCATCCTCAGGTTTGAGTAGCAGAGATGTTCTCTGCATTCTGAAAAAAAGAGACTGGAAGAGGAACGGGAAAGAGCAGCAGGTGGGGAGAAAGGGAATGGGATGGAGTCTCCTTTCAGAAGAAGGAAAACAGAGTTGTGTGTGAAAAGCCTCTGCCAGAGCCTGCCAGGCAGCTCCCAGTGCTATCACAGCCCTGCAGCTTTGGGGCAGGGAGCTGATAACCCACCCAGAGAGCTCAGGGGAGGGAGCAGCACTGCAGGACTGGGGTGTGGAACTGCAGCAGCACACGTGGGTTTGTGCCAGGCATGACACTGCACCTTCAGAGGAACCCAGGGGGAAAGCCTGGGGTCTGCCCAGATTGTAGAAATTGGGAGGGTTGGGAGAAAAATTGGGTTGTTGTGGTTGTGAATGTTCAAAAAATCGGTGTCCCTCTTTCCTGGGCCTTTATTTGCAGCTCTGTCAGCCTGCACAGACCTTGCAGCTCCTGGAGGTGCTTGTTTGGCTCTCAGAGGAAGGGGAGAGAGTCACCTGAGGGTCTCTCTCTGTGGAATTGAGGTTTGCTGCAGTACAGGCAGGCTGATGAATGAAACATGCACTGGGAAACTCAGGTGAAGCTGTATTATATCCATCACTCTCCTTTCTGACTGTTCTGTCTGCTCCTAAAGAGGGACTGACACTGATTTCTGTATGAACAGAGGAAATCAGCTGCTAAAACCCCACTGTCAGTGCAGGCTGGAATCCTTGGCTGTGCATTAATATTAGCACATCTTTCTGCTTCACCTTTGAGTGCTGAGATCTTGCTGCTGCTGGGTGATTTGGGCTCCTGATTGATGCAGGAGGTTCTGTTTCTCCTGATTCTACACAAGAAGTGTTTCCTGGGAGCCCTGAACATTGATCATCAGCCCACAGAGCTGGTTTGCATGGAATTCAAATTTCAGTAAGGCTTTGGAGTTGCCTTCTTGGCTTCTCTTTAAAGACAAAACAATTCAAACATCATAAGTTACTGCTAAAATAAAAGACTTCTGCAATGTTTCTATTGTTTTTTTGGCACACCGAGGAAAATACTACAAATCCAATGAAAAGAAAGGCAGAAGATAATTGGCTATTTAAGTTCTTCCTTGAATTAGCTCTGAGAGTGGCATCCTTCCAGAGAAAGTGTTGCAAGGGGAATAGCAGAAGGCATCTTAGAAACAAAGGAAGGAAATGTTGGCTCTGCAGAGCCGGTGGTAACTGGTTTTAATGTTTCAAATCAATAGTAAGTAGTTACAAAACAAATCAGAGTTTACTGTTGAAACCTTTGAGGTGAAAGCTCAGTTTACTTTGACTTGATCAAAGCTTCAGTGAGTGCCATCAGCACCTTTGGCACGTAACACTGATTGGTTTAATGGCATTTCAGCTGCAGACTGGCACTTAATTGCACATTTGTGCTCTTCACCAAAATCTGTTTGTGAAAACAAGCATGTTAGACACTGAAATTAATTAAACCCGGACTCTTAATTGCTCTGCTCTGGCACTTTTTTCTTTAATTCAGTTAGACACACACACTTGAGGAATTTGCCCCAGCTGAGTTTTTCGCAGATTGTGTATTTTTAATTTGCCTTAATATGAATTTCCATTGCATGGAGCTCTCCTTGGGATTTTATTCCATTCATGAAAAGTGATTTTTTTCTACCAGGCTTTAAAACAAGGTCTTTGATACCCAACTCCTCTGCTTTGGAAAGTTCACATTAAGCAGGTACAGAGGCAGCGGGGGCTAATTGAGTGTTACAGCCTCAGCCCCTTGTTTCACCATGTTCCATTTGATCTTTAACTCGGGTTTTACCGTGTAGAAAAGGGATTGATTAAAAATTTGGCCTTGTCAAGGTGTCATGTGAATTGCTCCTTCAACAGCTCAGAGATAAGAGGCATGAGATAAGGGGGAAGCTGAGCCTGGGCAGTGTCTGGTCAGTTATTGCTCTGCCAGTCAGCACTTCCAGCAGCAGCTCATGCTTTACCTTCTACTTTATTAATCATCCTAAGAGCCACATTTTTGTTTTGGAAACTGTTATTTTTAGAGTTTTTTACATTCATTCTCAAGTTTGTTTCTGATTAATTTTGGGAGAGGCTTTGCTGGGTTTTTAATTCTGGTCTCTCATGTTCCAGGAAAATACTGATCTGTGCCTTGAGGTACCATCCTGCTGCATTTAAACTTTGCCTGGATGCTCTTGAGAGCACATTGTCTGGCTGGGAGTGCCTTTTTAGCTTGAATTTCTCCTGTCTTTGGGTTTTCTTTGAATTGTGGAGGTTAAACAGGCAAAGTCTCACTCGTGACTTTCATTGTAAAATGAGAGAGGAACACAGAGCAATGGAGCTCCCTGTGCCCTGTGATATCCTGGATTTACTGGGAAACTCAGCAGTGACTGCACACATCCTACTCAGACCTGTAGCACTTGCTGATAATGGAGTTTTTGTTTTGACTTGGGTGTTTTTTCCGTCTGTATCATTACAATAACAGCGCTTCTGAATGTTTATGTGGCTGTTTAAATAAGAAAATTAGTAGGTTGAGTAGATGAGTCTTGTTAAGCTGGTATTTTATTCACGGTATCCAAAATGGCACAGTTGTGTGGAGTTTGCCTGGAGGAATTTAATAGAAATTAAGGAAACACCCTTCTGAAAAACAGATTGCCTTCATCAGGTGCTGCCATCAGGCTCCTAATTCATATTTATCTAATCTCACTGGAGAGGAGCTCCCTTCATTCCCAGAGATGCACAAACAAATTTCAGTTTCCTAAAAGACTTTAACAGCCTCCAACTTGGGTTTGGTGTAACATGTCCCAGTCTGAGCAGAAATAAAATATGGAATTAATGTTGTTTGGGGCAGGAGCAGCACTAGTTTATCTGAGTTAAGCCATGGGGTATTGATAAGGTAAATGCAGTGTTTACATTCTTAAAAATTCTTAAAAATATGCTCTTTAGCTACTGCTTAACTATGAGTTGTAGCACTGTGTTCTGTGTAGTTTCAGATGGCATTTGAACACATATATTTACTATGTATTCTAATAAAGTATAATTTAAAAGCTGTTTGTATGAGCATTTCATGGGATAGTGGTGGCTGTTATTAGAGAGACGAAGTACAGTGAATTTTTATCCAATATATCTGAAGAATTTCACTGTGAGATTAGGTAAACAGGAATAATAAGCCATGTCAGCAGTCTCTCTTTAAAACATCTTCAGTGATTGTGTAAAAGCTGTTCCATCAGTGGCCAACTTCATATGTTGGGAATTCTTTTCATAATAGCTTTAAAGTTAATTTTATTTTTTTAAGGCAGATTTTTATATCTTGCCAGAAGTTAATTTAGGCCATGTTTTTCCTTATCTGGCACCGCCTGGTGGTTTGATTTCATCTTTTCTAAAGGTCTGAAATGTTTGCTCCTTGTTTTATCAGCAGAATGATGATGATAGGAAATTCTGGATTGAAGACTTATTTACTTTAGGCTGATTTATTTATTTATGAGCTTATAACAAGCTTATTTGATTTTTTTAAAGTTCTCTATGTAGTTCTGAGATCCAGTTGCTTACAAATACAATAGCTTGTTGAAAGGCTTTAGATATATTTTTACAGCACTTGTAATACTCTGGTATTATTCCTTCTTAAGTCTGGTTTGAATGAAGCATGAACAAGTCAAAATAAATGTTTTAGATCTTTATTTTTTGATATTTTTATAAACAATAGAAGAGCCTTACTGGTTATTTATTCTCTTATGTTGTTGAGAACAAAGAGTAGAGAGTTCCTGGATTTTTCTGTGTGATTTGGATAAGCTGCTGCTTGGAAAAACTCTGGCAGGAGAGGAGACACCTCTGTTCATGTCACAGGAAATGGGAGCACCAAGCTGATGGATAATTGCTCTGTTGGTGTGATGAAGAGTTGTAGAAATAGAAGAAATATGGTTATTTGAAAGGAAAATTCTATTTTTCCTATTTAGGGAGTTGCTTTCCTACTTTTTTGATATTTGCACGCTGTTGTGATGTGCAGTTGTGTGGGCTGGTTGGAAAAAAAGTTTATACAAGTCTTTTCATTTTCTAGAAGAATAGGAATCCTTGTGTTGTTTTTTTTTTTCTCTTTTTCTCTCCCAAATATACATGTAATTTTAGAAAACATTTTGAAATAACTGAAAATAATTCTATTTTCTGATATGGGAGGAGTTAGTCTATACTTGCATAGTTACTTTAAGTCTGGAGTAGGCACCTTTGTGATGTCCAGCAGCTCCAAGAGAAGGGGAATGACAATATTGTACCTGTGATTCAGCTGTGTTTGAGATACTCCTCAGCTCAAAACCAGTGTGCAAACTTACCCAAACTGGTCTCACTGGTCCCAACCCTCCCTACTCTGTTGCAGATGCTTTTACTGATTCAGCCATCAGTGCTAAAGTTAATGGAGAGCACAAGGAGAAGGATCTGGAACCATGGGATGGAGGAGAGAACACGGCTTCCGAGGAGCTGGAGGCACTGGAGACCGATGTCGTGAGTGATGCTTTGATCATCTTTGGCCATCAGTAGAAAATGAGCTGTTTCCCTGGACATGCCTTGAAATAATTCCTTAATTTCAATCTACTAATGAACTTTGGAGGAGCAAAATTGCTGTCCTGCATTGTGCTGGTGGATGCTCAGTCTTTGCCAGCAGCTGCCACAGCCCTTTGGAACGATCTGGCTGAGAATAGCTGCCTTTCAAATGGCACTTTTGGCAAATTCTGACCAGTGGCAGCTGCTGTGGTCAGAGCTGTGTTGGACTCCAGGACCCAAAGAGCAGCTTTTGTTAAGGACTCCAAATCCAGCAATGCCCCAAAGTGATTTATGTTCAATCAGAGCATTCCTGTCTGGCTGTCATTGCACTTGGAAATGATGGGGAGATTGTGCTCAGCTCAGTGTCCCTGGGCTGCAGATGGAGAGAATTGATGGAAGCCTGACCCAAGCACAGGGACAGTCTCAGATTATGAATCATTAGATGAAGAATATGGCCTCAAATGCCATATCCTCATATATCACAGCAGTCAGCTTTTCCTCAAGCAGAAATTCTTGTAGCCAGGTGTTCAGCCTGCAGTGTGTTCAAGGAGATAATGTTACTGATTAGAGCATATTAACTTTGGGTAGAACAATTCTCCTGTCAGTTTTGGTGTCCATACCGTAGAGCTGAGATTTGTTGGAATACCCAGTACTCTCAGTGCTTTTATAAAATATTCAAAGCATTTATTGTTGTGCTTGAGTGCTGTGCTAGCAGTTTTACTGAAGTGGGGGAGTTGTGCAGATCAACAGGAGTCTCCTGCCTCTGGTGCCTCTCAGGTAATTCCATCAGTGCTTTTGAAAAGTTTCAGAAGTGTTAATTTGCACTTTTTGGAAAAGGCAAAACAGATATTAATGTATGTATGTCTTGCTAGCCAGTAGTCTTCTTGTACAGAGTGAGCATGTACTTAAAAAAAAAAAAAATCACAAAAACAATACAAAGACTCACAACAAACAAAAAAACAAAAAATTGTGGAATTTTCAAGGTAGAATCTGTGCAGCTGATGAACAAAGCTCCTTGAAATAAACTGTGGCATTAATAACTTTGTTATCTGGACAGTGAGTCCCCAGGTCCAGGAAAAAGGGCAGAAGGTTTAACTTCTGCCATCAGCCCTTAATTTGAAGGGAATGTGTTTCCAGTGTCATTTTGAAAAACAAGCATCATTTTCTTCTAGTCTAATGGATGGGATCCCAATGACATGTTTCGTTACAATGAAGAAAATTATGGTGTAGTGTCAACTTATGACAGCAGTTTATCTTCTTATACGTAAGTTCCAAAATATTTTGTTATTAGATTTGTATTGAATGTTCTCCCTGGTTTGACAAACTTTATATTCTGCAGCTCATTTTGCATAGTTTCTGAAGTTGTGGAATCAAATAACTGCAAAAGCAATGAATGAATGGTGCTTAAGAAACCTTGCCAGCTTCCTGTGAATAGTTAGATGTAGAAATCTTTATATATTCCCTTAAATGGGCACAGCTCATTCCCATGGCAGAGTTTTCTGAATTTAGCCATGCAATAAGGCTTGTTTCTTGCAGAAACTTCCAGGAATAGGGTGGAAAGCTGTGAATTAATCTGTATGTAGCTGCTACACCTATAGTTTTTTTGTTTAACCTAGCAGAGCAGTTTGGCTAAACCCTGATTTTATTGAGACAATTGATCTGGAACATACTGGAATGCTGAAAAGCTGCTGATAACCAGGGTGGGGGTTGTGTGCTTGTTTAGCAGACTTGACCAGCTCTAAACTGAAGTTTTAGTTAAATATAATAACAACTGGAATATCGAAGTAGTATAAAGGCTGCTCTGGCTACTCTGGCAGTGATTTGTTCCCCAGAGTCTGCAGCTCTAATGTTCACTGCAACTGCAACACAAATGGACTGCAGATGTTCACAGCCATTGTGAAATGGCTTCAGTATTTCCCCACTCTCTTAACCCCCGAAGCAGAAACTGATTTTTTTTTTTTTTAATATCAAGGAATAGCAGTGAATATTTTGATTTTTCTCTGTGTGTGTGTGCACTTGTCTACAGGTCTCTGATTCAACAATGTGATTTCTATGTTTTGTGCAAATGGACCTGTGACATGGTGATAATCAAAGTGTCTTAATCAGCTTATGCTTGAATCCTGGGGAAGCTGTTCTTTCCTTCCCTGCTCTAAGTACTTTTTGTACTTTTGAACTTTAGTCTTCCATCTTTCTGCTTTCTGGATATTAATGGAAACAGATTAAAAACATGAAGGTGGCTTTAAATTAATTCCAATTTTTTTTATTTCCCCTAGTCAAGCAACTTGCTTTGCATATCAGTCTGCTAAACTGGGAAGCTCTTTTCCTGCTTTTCCACTAAATGCTTAGATGTGCAGCTGAAGGGTTTATTGTTTGATTGTTTTCTCTTCCTAGAGCTAAGCAGTAGCAGGTAGAGTTTGTCAAACTGCATCAAGGTACAAGTTTGTGTTCCAGCAAATGCATTGATCATCACCAGGGTTCTGAACAATGTCATCCTGTCCATCCCCTTTCTCTCATCTTTAAAGGCCTGTTAGAAAACATCAAATCATTCCCTGCCTCTTTAGGTTGCCATACATCCCTTCATTTTTTGCACTCACTTTAAATAAATGAGGATTATTGGCTGTTCTCCTTTATTGTGTTATTAACAGAGGGGCCTGGGACCAGGTTTGCATTCATGGAAATCTTATTTGAGACAAAGCTTTATGCTGAAGAGTTTTATTGGATATTCTTGCAGTTACCATTGATAAAGCCAGTAAATGTTTTGACTGGCCAAAAATGTGGGGAAAAACTTGTGCTGCAGTAGCTGAGTGCTGGCTTGGAATTTAGCAAAGCCACTTGTTTTCCTCGTTCTGCCACCAACACTTGAGCAATTTTGCATGTATTATTCTGTACTTGGCTTGTATCTCCACCCACTTTCTTTGTTTTTCTTCTTTATATTATTCAAAATATGGGCAGTAGTGATTCTATAATGCCCAGCAGAGCATGGGCCAAGCCTCAGCTCTATTCTTTATTTTTATGTAGCTTATTCTGAAGTAAGGTTGGTGGAACAACTTTTGCAACTTGAAGTTAGAATCAGGGGAAAAAATTGGTTTTTTAAAACCTGGCACAAATATTAGAACAGATAAACCCCAAAAATGGGTGACAGAAGGAGGTGCCAGGTATGAGCCCATCCCTGGTTGGGTTTTTTCAGTGTTTCAGTGCTAATTGAATTTTGACTTGGTGGCTTTCCTAAGGGACGATTTTTGCAATATTCCATTGTCTGCCATTGAGAGAGACATGGAAAGAGTGGGACTGAGGTCCTGGCACTCACAGATGAATCAGGAATTTCTGGTCCTGAGCTCTGAAATGTTGCATCCATCTTTTCTGCAGTTCTTCATAGTTGGGAGAGCTGAAATTCTATGGCTGGAATTATCAAAGGAGTAAGGATGTCACTCTCTAATTTCAGTAGGATTGTGTCTGCTGGCAATATGTAAATAGCTAAAAATATTCAAATTTGGGCTCTTGGAGTATCTTCCTATGTAAAAACAGTCTGAGGCTTTTTATTCCTGATATTCTCAACCATGTTAAAAGTTGGAGCCTTTGCACAGCTTTAGGGACTGGGGATTTTAAAAATCCTGTGGAAAAGTTCTGCACCCTGACCTCAGCTCTCTAGGTAGGTAAAAATGACCCTGAATTTGTCCATAATATCAAACCAGTCCAGGAATTTTTTATTATAAAAAAGACAGCAAGTCTACTGGCTTAGGAGCAAGATTTTTTTTCTCTCTGACTCGATTAGAACTAACACTGTGTGATTTTTTGTAACTCCTTTGTACTTTTGAATGCATTTCAGAGATTCTTTTCCTCTCCATTGTCTTTTTAGGGTGCCATTAGAAAGAGATAATTCAGAAGAGTTTTTAAAGCGGGAAGCCAGAGCAACTCAATTAGCAGAGGAAATTGAATCAAGTGCCCAATACAAAGCTCGGGTTGCCTTGGAAAATGATGAAAGGACAGAAGAAGAAAAATATACTGCTGTTCAGAGAAATGCTAATGAAAGAGAAGGACATGGTGTGAACACTAGGTACTTGAGTACACTATGAATAGTATTTTTATTTAAATTATGGAGGTATTTTGGTACTGTAGCAGTTTGCTCATTGATACTGGGCTTTTTCAGCAGGCCTGATTAGGTTTGGAGCCTTGTGTAAACAATCCTGTGCTGGTTTTGGCACTCAGGCTGACTTGGACACCTCTGCCTGGCCCTGCATTATCTCTGTAGTGAAACAAACTTCCCCATTCTGACCTGTCACCGTGGTGAATTTGTCCCAAATTCCAGGAAGGGGCAGTGGTTTTGGTGTGTCCTGGAGAATTTCAGGCATTGCTGCTAATCCTTCAGTGCCTGTGGGCTCATAAAGTGGACTGTGTGGTCACTATCAAAAGCCAATTCATGAGGTGACTGTTGGGTCAACATCTAATACTATTTAGACTTTTCTCCTTGGCTTGATGGGAGAAAAAGAGAGAAAATGAGGTGCTTTTTATTGCCTCTCAGTTATGTCTCGACACTGATAGAAATTTGCTGTGTTTCAGAGAAAATAAATACATTCCACCTGGACAGAGGAACAGGGATGTCCTGTCCTGGGGAAGTGGAAGACAAAACTCACCGAGGATGGGCCAGTCTGGATCAGGCCCACCAATCTCAAGGTCTGGGTCCCACACTTCAGAATTCAGCCCTAACTCTGGAGCAGATCAGAGAGTAGTTAACGGAGGCAAGTATCTGAAATCTGAATGAATGTACCTCATAACACTGCAGATAATTATGGTGTGGAGTTAGTTTGTGTATTTCATAAACCAGGTTAGCATTCATCATTTAACACAGAGGTTGTGAGTTGGATTTGGGCTTAACTTACAAAGGAACACTCATTGCACTGCTCTGCCTGTGGCTTTGCAGAGCAGAAATGTCATTTGTTTTCCTCCTCAAACACCTTTGTCTTAGATGATGGTGCACTGTGTGGTTTTAAAGATGAAAAACTGCATCAGCACTGCAAAGCTCCGTGTGGAGGAGCAGCAGTGCTGACACCTGGTGAAAGGCAGCAGCAGGAGGAAGCTTCCCTTCCTTTCTGGAAGAGAATAAAGCCACTTGCTTGACTTTATGAAAATGGGAAGGGAAAAACAAGAACAGTGTTAGAGAAAAGGAATCCAAAGCCTTCCCTCCAAATGGGTATTTGAGTATTTTCTGCTGGACACATGGGTAGTATTTCTAACCAGGCATCAGTAGGCACTGCATGGCAGCAATTGGTATCCCAGAAGCCAAACACCATTTCTGGAGATGGATTTCAGCAGTGGCCTGTCCTCAAGGCATTATTTCTAGAGTTTAAAAATGGTATTATAATAACTTGCTGTGAATAAATGAAAAATGTGTAATACTCAAGTGATCTATCTGGAGAGGAAGTCTGAGAAGCATCTAAAGGTAAGTGAGACTTCTTTCTAAAGCCAGAGTCAGCTCTATAAAGGATGGACAACTGAACCTTGCCCAAACAATGCTAACCTTGAAATTTGTCTGTAGTATTTGTGGTTTCTCTCACCCTATTGCTCTGCTGAATCAACATCATATACCTAAAATATTCAGAATGGCTTGTAAATTCAATTAAACCTGCTTTGGAAACCATGAGCCCTATATCCTAGATTAAAATCCTCCACTAATACCTCAGATAAGTGACAAAGGCATAAATGTCAGCATTCAGACACTGAACACCGCTGGTTTTTGTAAAGATCCAGCTCCTAGATGGATATTTACTCATCATTTGGTTTGAAAGTAGCAGTTTGTGTGGTCAGTACTGTTTGTGAAAGCTGTTTGAGAACCTCTGGTAGCTGTTAAGGACCTTGTGGAGTGCTGGGTGCTGTGGAGCATTGGTATGCCAGGCTAACAGATCAAACTTTACTGTCTGTTCCTTAGTAGTGTTTGTAGATCCTAATTAACCCTTTGGGGAGCCTGTGACATTCACAAGTTCAATTTGACCCAAAAACCAAGGCAAACCCAACCCTTCAGAGACTTTATCTCCTCAATTACCACCTCGATCCATCCCCAAAGGGTTAAAAACAAAACAAAAAACAAACAAAAATCATTTTGTCATATTTTACTTTTTTTTTTTTTTCTGTTGACCTCCCCTTTCCCCTTTCCCCCAACCCCCCCACCCCCCCCATAATTTTTTTCTTTAGTTTTTATACTTTCCTTCATATCATTTGTTCTGTCAGGTGTTGCCTGGCCATCGCCTTGCCCATCTCCTTCCTCTCGCCCACCTTCTCGCTACCAGTCAGGTCCCAACTCTCTTCCACCTCGGGCAGCCACCCCTACACGGCCGCCCTCCAGGCCCCCCTCGCGGCCCTCCAGGCCCCCGTCTCACCCCTCTGCTCATGGTTCTCCAGCTCCTGTCTCTACTATGCCTAAACGCATGTCTTCAGAAGGTACAATATACCACGATTTGTTCATGTTTTTTTTTTTTTTTTTAAATTTATTTTTGTTTTGTCTCTGTTTTTAACTCCTCCGCGAGTTGTTAGTTATTGACAAGTCGTTTTCTTTTTTTTTTTGTTGTTGTTGGTTTATTGTTTTTTTTTTTTCCTCTTCATTACTTAACCTATAATTTGTGTTTAACTTTAGTTGATCAGACTATTTCTATTAACCTTTTTTTTTTTTTTTGTTTCATTGGATTGGTTGGTGGTTTGTTGTTTTTTTTTTTTTTCCTGTTTGTTTGATTTGAAGAGCTTTACAAAAACGAAAGAAAGCTGTGTAATTTCCCGAGTTTGGTATGAAATTAAACTCAGCTTCATAAACGCTGCTCAGTGTCTTAAATTAAGCAACAGCAACATGCAGGACCTGATAACTTTAGGGAGCATTTTTAGGACTACAAATTTATATAAAATACCAATTTTAACACAGTTGTTACACAAAAGGCCTAACTAAATCATTGAATCACCTCTTGTAAAGCAACCAATGACAATAATGATAATAAAAATGCTGTATTCAGAGAAGTGAACTGTGGAATGGGGTAGGATGAGCTGCTTCAAAGGTGAATTTGGAGGAATTTTTATTCAGAACTATAAATCAGCTCCCTAGCAGTCAATAATATACAGAGAAAAGCTGACCTGTGAGTCTTTGGTAGCTGTATGCAGAATTATCCCAACTAATTTTGTCCTGGGAGGGTACAATAAGGAACATGGTTTAAAATTTTTATTTCAAGTGCACTTAAACCCTGCACAACACAGTGTAGCAAGCCCAGAAAATGCAAAGTGGTTGTACTGGGATCCCTGGAGATTTGCAGTGGGTGCTGTAGGTGGCTCTGCTGGAGCCTTGGGAGAGAGAGGAATGATCCCTGAGACTCAGCAGGAACACTGGGAAATGCTCCTGAGCAAAAAGTGGGTGGTAGCTACATCTGTCTGGCCTACTGTCCATGTATTGTGGGCTTTTTATGGAGTAAGGAACTGGGAATCCACCTGCACATTGAATTATTTCTTAGCACTTGTGGTTGGTTTGTCAGGCGTGCAGTGAACTGCTGCTTACTGCAATGTTTAATTCCTACTGCTGCAAGGTTATTCCTGGGAAATGTGTATTTAAAATACTCAGCTGTGTGAAATTTGTATTGAAGTGGACTTGAGATTCATGGTTAAAATAGAGGCTGACATTTAAATATTTATGTAACCAGGAAAGGTACTTGGTGTTTTAGAAGTTTTTCTGAAACCTAAAAGCCATTATCTGAACTTAACCCTGTTACTGACCTGTGTTAAAAATGAGCTGCAATCAGCCAGGTTCTGTTCACACACAGTTTTTCCTTTTGAAGTATGAACATATGAGTCTAATCCTGTAAAGAAAATGTTTATTAGGATGCAAGAATTGTATTGCTGCTTAGATTTGAGCATAACTATGGTGTGGCAGCTGTACAGGCTGTGCAGAATTCCTGTATTCACTTATGACTTTGGCTTCTGGTGTTAAACATGCATGACTTGAACCTTGGGAAAACAATCCCTTGTTTAGTTGTAATTTTTGCTGACTTGTAAATGAATTGTGACCTGCTGCAGGCAATTCAGCCTCGCTGCAGAGAATGCTCTGCTGAAATTCCCCAAGAGCATTGGTCAGCCAGTGGTGACTATAAATGGTTGGGATCACTGACCACCTGACAAAAGCACTGGGAATTTTTATTTTCTGGAAAAAATGTTTGATAACCTGGAACTGTGCTTATCCAGGGGCAGCTGCACCACTGACCTTTATGGCTGGCTTGCACTTGGCAGTGGTGAATGCTTGGAATGAAATATTTTAAATCCAGGCCTTGCACACCTGTTTCAGTGCTGATAAAGCCTCTGAATACCCAGGAGCTGCCCTGGGGAGGTGATGAGTGTTGGCAGCCTGGCTGAACCAATGCCTTGGCCTTTTTATGATATCAGTGCCAATTGCTTGATTTTATTGCTGCTTTATTGAGAGTTTTAAGATGAAATGCAATTTTAAGAAGAAATGTTTGGGGTTTTGTGGTGGACTTTAAGCACTTATTGTGTGGGGTTGTCTTTTTCTTCCCTCAGGGCCTCCACGGATGTCTCCAAAGGCTCAACGGCACCCTCGAAGTCACAGAGTCTCTACTGGTAGGGGTACAATTTCAACTGGCTTAGAATTTGTATCTCATAATGCACCTGGGGAAGCATCTACTGCTGCAGTGGCACGAGGCAGCCCTTCAGGTGGGACGTGGTCATCAGTTGTCAGTGGGGGTAGGTAAAGCTTGGCTTATTGCAGATGGCTTGCAGGGGGATCCTTAGAGTGGGAATGCTCAGCAGAATCCTGCCGTTTCCAGGCAATTCAGGCTCTGAATCATCAAATACTGGGCTAAGGTTGGAGTTGGGAGAAGGATGTTCCCAGCTAGCTGAGTGAGAGTTGGTGTAATATTGTAGAGTCAGGTGCTGTGTGGAGAGAAAGGAAAAGTGTGGGAATTAGTTGTTGAAAGGAGTCATTTTTAGGGGATTTATTGGAGGAGTTTAGAGATTTGCCACTGCATCCCTGAGTTTGGTTATGGCAGCGTGGCTGGATTGTGGTTTGCAAAGGAAGGAGGTGTTTGGGTAGAGGAAGGTTGGTGTTAAAAGATGAATTGATACTCAAGTTAAGTTGGATGTACTTTTCCTTTAAAATTTACATGGATTTTATGTGGTGATGTTGTTCTTGGCTACTGTAGGAGCAGTTTTAGTGAGTGTCTTATTTTTAATCAGTTAGTGTAATTTTTTTTAATATTTGACTTAAAGCTCAGTTTTGTGCCAAAGGTCTAGTCTGGAGCTCTTGAGTTGAGGCCTTGTTCTGGTGGGCTGTCAGGAGCTGGATGTTTCCTTGAGGACAAGAGAGCAGCAGTTTGGTCCTTTTTAGGTACTTTTTGGAAATTTTTTAGCAGTGCAGAATTCTGGAGGAGCATAGTTGGGAACACATTTCTCAGAAAGAAGGTATGAATTGGACCCACATAGGCTTGTTGCCTTGTGGAAAAAACATCAACTCTTCAATTGTGGCATTATTTGTGATCCACCTTCCATGTTTATATATTATTAACATGCAAGTAGGACTGTTAAACCACTTGCCTGCCTTTCTGCTCACTCACTGGGAGTTAATGTGTGACAAAAAAGCACAAGTGGGATGAGCAGGAAACAGGATCTACAACTTACTGTTCAAAGAATACACAGCTTTCCTTGCTGCTTTAACACAGGGGCAAAAATATACCTAAAAGCACTCTTTTTTCAATAGGCTGTGTTGTTTTTTTTCCAGCTGGCAAACCTCCAAAAGAGGACGCTGTAAAATGGATGTGTTTTTTCAGCCCTCTTTAAAAAATGTTTTACATCTCTTTATGTGGAGACCTGACCACCTTTTGTGTTCTGCCTGAAACTGGGTTAATGTGAGCTGTTGTAGTGTTACTACTGGGGACTTGGGGAAGCATTTTACAGATTCTTGGTGGGATTAGAGGGCAGTGATAATTTTTCTGGGGACAATCTGCAGAGAAATCACCCCATTCTCTATGAAATGCTGCATTGTAAAGAGCTAGGAGATGTGCCTGAAAGGTAAACAGGTTTTCAGTTATTACATAATCTCTCACAGAGTGTTTCAAAGCATGTTTGTAGCCATTTTAAAACTAAAACAAACTGCTGAGCAGATGGGGAAGCTCATCCTATAACTGCTTTTTCCTGTTTGTTTCTAGTTCCGAGATTATCCCCTAAAACACACAGGCCTAGGTCTCCAAGGCAGAGCAGCACTCCCATGGGACCAGCTCTGCCTTCTCCTCAGCCTGGTACTATTCCCACTGAATCTGTTGCCATGCCTGTTCCAGCTGCCTCTCCTACACCTGCCAGCCCTGCATCCAACAGAGCAGTCACCCCTTCCAATGAAGGTAAGTGGCCCTCAGTACCTTGCAAATGCTCCCTTTCCCTAATTCCTGACAAGGAATGTGCCCAGGCAAGAGCACAGCTGCTTGCTGAATCATAGGAAAGCTTGGGATACATTTAATTTTACTGTGAGTTCCCATTTCTCCAGCTTTAGACTAAGATTGGAGAGAGGCTTGTTGAGAAGTCTCTATGCTTAGTTTCTTGTGCCCTTAAGGAATATGGGTTTATAGGTGTCTGACTTAATCGAGGATTTCTTTTTCCAAAATGAGTTTTTGCCTCTTTTTTAAGTTAAAGAAACGCAGGCCACTGTTTTCAAACACAGCAAAAGGAATGGGGGAAAAAAACCCTTCAGGAGCACAGTCAAATGTCTAAGAACTTTCCAATATTTGTAGCATTCTCTATGAAGAGCTTGGACTGCTGAAAATAATTGGCTCTAAGTTTATAAATTTTTTAGTGTGGTTAAGGTTTTGAGTATGAAGAGAGGGATGAGTATAATTGGGTTTTTTTTCATTCGACAGTAGGATAGAGAGGGAGGATGAGGGAGGATGATCCTCCAGGCACCAACTAGGTAGCAGGAAATGTGTAACTTAAAAGGTTTTTCAAGCTAAAAGTAGTTAAATCTCTCCCTGTTTCTCTCTTGCCTTCTCTTTGGTCAGTTGGAGTTGTGTATAAGAGAATAACTTTGGCAATTTCTTTTCCAGCTAAAGATACAAGGCTTCAGGACCAGAGGCAAAATTCTGCAACTGGAAACAAGGAGAATATAAAGCCAAGTGAGACTTCTCCTAGTTTTTCTAAACCTGAAAACAAAGGTTTGTATCCAAGGCTTTCATGTACTCGAGTGATGTAGGAATTGTGCACACTAAACCTGCTGTCCTGCTGCTCTAGTTGGCATTTAAGGAAGGCTTGGAGGCATTCTGGTGTTCTACAGTAAAATTTGGTCATGCAGTTGTGAAGTGGCACTTTGAAATGTTGTTTGTGACTCATTCCATCAACACCAAATGTAGAGATGCTCATGTGGTGTGATTTCACTTGGTTTTTTTCTTTTCCCCCCCCCCTTCTTCCTTTCCTCTGCTCACAGAGCTGCTTTTTAGCTGCCTTTGGACTAAATATGTTTCTGCTTAGAGCTGTGCTCACAATACTTCTGAGCATCGTGGTCAGCAGAGCTTTTCTAACTGTGCTTTTCCTGTTATGCCTTACATTTGTTTGTCTCTGTAGAGTTGTTTGTTCATTCAGTTCTCAAAAAAAAAAAATCATTTCATGTTGTTAAACTGAGAACCAGATTCATTCATTCTCTCATTGGAGAGACCTTTAGGATGAGTCCAGCCATAAAGCTCACCTTGATCAGTGTTTCTCCTTCACTTGCTGTGTTTTGAAATGCTGACACAGGCTGGGTTGGGGGTTTTGTTGCATGTTCTTTGTGTTCAGTGAGTTCTGCAGTCCCTGCACCTCGGGGCTTCTGCCTTGGTGTGGTGCATCAGAACTAAAGATAAATCAGTTATGTAATGCTCTGCTTTCACAGAGGCTCTCTGTGTGCTCATACACATAGGTCATGGAATTGTACCAAATAAACCCAAAATAAGGTGCTGGATTTCATTTTTCTATCTGCAAAACCATTATCTTTCTGCAAACTTAGTAATGTGTATAAAATTTGTATTAGAAATGCTTGGACAATGTTGATCTTGTATTTGGCAGGTGTCTCTCCAATTGTTTCAGAGCATAGAAAACAGATTGATGATTTAAAGAAATTTAAGAATGACTTTAGGGTAAGTTTGTCTCTGTTAGTGGTGTCATCATTCTCATGTGCATCCAGATTATTTTAGTGAATTGAACACACTGCCTATGTTAACAGGTCTTTATACTTTTGCCTAATGTATGAAAATATCTGTAAGAATCCATGTTAGGTATTGTAAAATCAATGCTGACTCTTGTTTGTACAATTGCCTAATGCACATAAATGTGAATATTGACTGCACTGAAAGCAGGACTTGAAACCTGTTTGATCATTAGGCACAAATAATTATCTCACACTCCATATGGAGGAGCTGTTGCAAAATTAAATGAAGAGTTTTGTGGAGGAAAATTGAAGATGAATTCATATTACTTATTTCCTGGTTATAAGGGTTTATTAAATCAGGTTAGCTTTTCAAGTGGTGCTGTTAAATCACTCAGGGGATGATGAGTCCAGAGGGTTGTCTGAAGCTTTCCTGTCACTCCTTAATCAACCTACAGGTCACTTGAGTGGCTGAACAGCTCCTTACACGGTGCCAGCTTAAACACTGTCAGTGCCCATGGATTTCTTTCCTAGTAGAAATGGAAATGAGTGTTCTAAAAGGTCACTTCCAGATGGTGGAGGCTTGTGGGACTGTGTTTTAGTTTTGTATCAATTTACTGAATGTATCCCTTGGGTTTTTTCAGTTACAGTCCAGTTCCTCTTCAGATGCAGTGGATCAGCTGCTAAACAAAACCCGAGAAGGTGAAAAATCAAGAGATGTAGTTAAAGAAAAGACAGAATCTACCCCTAAAGAATCTATCATAGAAGCTGGCAGTAACACCAACTCCAATGGTGGCAGTAGCAAACCCAACAGTCCCAGTATTTCTCCTTCCATGAGTAACAGCTCTGAGCAAAAGCGAGGGCCTGAGGTGACCTCCCAAGGTGTACAGACATCTGGGCCTGGAAGTAAACAAGACAAAGAGGATAAAGAGGAGAAGAAGGATACTTCTGAGTGAGTAATCATGCCTTTTGGAATAAGCACATCTTTATTACAACACCAGACCTTGTGTAGAAGTCATGGCTGGGTGACACATCCCTGGCTCTAGGTGCTGTTACACAGGGGACTGCCTTGAAAGTCATCTCCTGACTCAGTGCAGAGCTCTGGTCCTCTTGATGCCTAGTTCATCTCTGAAAGCTTTGTTTTCCTGGCTCACATGAGCTGTGGTATCAATTGGAAAACTTTTGTGGGTAGTTGTAGTAAGAGTCCCTCAATGAGAGTGGCTTTTTTTATGCCATGAGGTGTTTGACTTCTAAGAAATCTGACTCACAGATGGAAATGAGGTGTCTCTTACATTATTAATTGCAGATACTCCCGTAAAAGAATAATGCCCAACTTAATTTTTTGTTCTTTATGTCTAGGCAAGTTAGAAAATCAACACTTAATCCTAATGCTAAAGAGTTCAACCCTCGTTCTTTTGCTCAAGTAAGTGATTTGATGCTGTTTGTCAGTGCCTATGAGTAGATCTTTATAAGCCAACCTTTTCCTTGGAGGATACTCAAACTAACCCTGGTTGCTCACCTCTGTTTGTAGCCGAAACCTTCTACTACACCAACCTCCCCTCGTCCTCAAGCTCAGCCCAGCCCCTCCATGGTGGGGCATCAGCAGCCAACCCCCGTGTACACTCAGCCTGTTTGTTTTGCACCAAATATGATGTACCCGGTTCCAGTGAGTCCAGGCGTGCAGGTAAAGTGCTGCAAACTCCTCAACACTTCACAGAGATCCTCAGGAAGCTGAGCAGGCTTAGGAATCATACAATGGCTTGGGTTGGGAAGGACTTTAAAGATCAGCAGCTTGGGAGCTGTGAGTTAAAACAGTGAAATAGTACAGCTTGTGTTGCTCTTGTAAATGTAAATCACGTTGTTGTTAAGTTTTGGCTGTGTATATACTGACTTTTCCCAGTGCTCCCTCAGTCTGGATGTTCAAATTATTCCAAACACTTGTAAATGCCTGCAGCCCACATTTACTGTGGATCTGTGCAGGTTTCCTCCCAGTTCTCCAAGCATAGTCTCTCACTCTCTGCAACTGTTTATTTGTTTCCAGCTGTGTGCCGCTGGTTTCTGGTTTTTGTAGGGATCAGTGGGATTCCAAATCTAGTTCCATTATCATAGAATCATGGAATGTCCTGAGGTGGAGGGGATGCACAAGGATCTTCAGCCCAACTCCTGGCCCTGCAGAAGACACCAACAATCCACCCTGTCCCTGAGAGCGTTGTCCAACCTCTCCTGGAGCTCTGGCAGCCTCAGGGCTGTGCCCATTCCCTGGGGAGCCTGGGCAGTGCCCCAGCACCCTCTGGGGGAAGAACCTTTCCCTGATCCTTCAGCCTAACCCTCTCCTGACTCAGCTTTATACCAAAAAGCTGCTCTGAGGCTGTCAGGTTGAGCCCAGTGCCTGCAGTAGCAGCAGTAGCATTCCTGGGCTGGTTGTTGCCAACCATCTGGTCTTAGTTGTGTGTCCATGCAGACTTAATGACACTGATCCAAGAAAATCTCATAGGTTAGGCAGAGTTCACTAAACCCTGCAGCAGAACAGAGGGAAACACATCAAAGCTGAGTGGGGCCCCCACCCCAGCACACACTGAGTTTTTAAAGGAATATCATACCTTCAACTTCTTCTGTTTCAGCCTTTGTATCCTATTCCCATGACGCCCATGCCAGTGAACCAAGCCAAGACATATAGAGCAGGTAAAGGTGAGAATAATACTGCCTGTTTGGTTCTCAAGTCTGCATGCAGCATGGCTAAATGACAAATGTTTGTGTGTTTTCTAATCCATGGCAATTTGGTTTCAATCGATATTTTAAATGCTATTTTTATTAAAGGGAAGTAAGTGGAAATACTAATGGATTTTTAGATAAACGAATTCAGCTAAAACATGTCAGGTTTGAGTAATGGGGGGTTGCTTGGTTTGGAATGTGATTTGATAAACAGGAAAACATCTCTGTTACTTGGAGCATTAGGGTGAGCTGATCATCTCCTGTTTTTCATAAATATTACAGGTTTGTTTTAAAGGGAATTTCTCTGCTGGTTTTCTGTACTGGTTTTCAGCAGTGTCCCAATTGTGCTTTAATAGTGGTGGTTTTTAACAACATGCAGAGTCACTATTTCTCCAGGAAAAGTTTGCTCTGCTGCCCTTCTGGAAAGAGCTGGTTCCAGTTTGTTCTTTTTCATTCCTGCTGCCCAAGTGACTGAACAGCTGGACTAACAATGACAATGCCACGTGTTTAAGTGACACCCGTGGCTGTGGAGTCATGATGGGTGGTGAGATGTTCCCTGAGCTGGGCAGGGCAGTTAGAGAGCAGAAAGTGCTGCTCTTGTTCCAGGGAATGCTGTAACTGTGCCCAGTGAATGCTTCTGCAGTGGCAGCCAGTGCTGCAGGACAGCACCAGCACTGCAGCTCCAGTCACTGCAGGAGGAAATTGTTTCCTGCTGTTTAGAAACAAACAAGTGGCCTTTATCAACCTAGGGGAGACAAAACCCTGCAATGTATTTCTGTGTTAAAACACAGTAACTTCACTGTGGCCTCACCCCTGAAATCTTCGGGTTAGTAACACTGTTTTACTCAGAAATACATTGCTGAGTGCTGCTTGCTGGGTGAGGCAGCTCCAATTCTGAGTTCCTTTTGAAGTTCCAGTATTTCCTGCATATGCATCTGTGTGCAGCACAGCCCTGTGGGAGCTGCCTGGGTTACAGCTCTGTGCCTTTACACTGTTCAAGTTGCCTCCTGTATTTACTTCTTTCTGTTGTTGATCTGCAGCGTAAATAAAATCATTGAGTGAATTTACAGATATTTTAAACATTTCCTTCTCCTCTCCCTAAGAGATTTGGGGCATTGCCCCTGCAGTGGAATTTAGAGGAGCTTGAGGTAGCTCTGTGAATAGTTGCAGCCTGACTGCAGGAAGCTGGAGCTCTCCTGGAGCTCCCAAGCCCATTCTTTATAGACTGAATTAGTTTGTTCCAAGTGAGTTGGGTGGTCACCTTCCCAGGAGAGCTCAGGTGATCCCACACTGCTCTGCTCTTTTCATCTTTCTTTCCTCTTAATTATTCCTACTCCTTATAGGTTTTGTCTCCCTCATTGTTGTCTGTGACCTAAAATTTGCTTTTTGCTACCTGAGGGATAGCACAGAGCTCAAAAGATGTGAATACCTCGAGTTGTGGCTGGGTGGAGACCATTATTGTGCTCTCCTCAGCCATAAGCTTGAGTCATTTTAACATAAAGACTAAGATTTCCAGCTGATGGAACAGTGGCAGAGTTGTTTCCATAGAGGGTGAAAAAAGCCTTTTAAAGGGGGCAGAATTAATTGGTTAATATAGGTATCCTAATATAACCTTTCTCTTCCACTTCTGATTCTGGTCAGTCTTTCTCTCTCTCCACCTTTCTTCCTTCACAAAAAGGGCAGGGCTGGGTTTGTGGCTGTGTATATCCAGCCCAAAGGCAGTGATGAAAATCAAGTGTTTCCTGGAGAAACTCCTCTTCACACTGTTCCTTTTTGACAGAGCTCTAACCCATGGCTAAAGGTGTGGGGTGAGGATATTCCACGTGGTCCCAGTAACATTATTATAACATAGAACCTTTCAGGAAGCTCCAAATTTTTTCCCTGTGTTTCTAACATGAGACAATCTTTGTTTTCCAGTACCAAATATGCCCCAGCAGCGGCAAGACCAACACCACCAGAGCACCATGATGCATCCTGCCTCAGCAGCAGGCCCTCCAATTGTAGCTACTCCACCTGCTTACTCTACACAATATGTTGCATATAGCCCCCAACAGTTTCCTAATCAGCCTCTTGTGCAGCATGTGCCACACTACCAATCTCAGGTAAGAGTCCTTTCCATGCTCCTGATCAATCCAAGCACAAATAATGAAGTGGTTCAGAGCTAAATAACCCCCTTGTGTCCTGTCCTGAGTCACCCTGAAGAGTTTCTGTGTTCTGGAGCACACGTGGTGATCTTGGAATGTGCTTCAAAGCCTGTAACAAATTTTAAGGTCCTAATGAATTTTAATGTCCAAACGAATTTTAAGGTCAGTTTAGAAGTTGGCATTTATTATTGATATGGTTTTTTAGCTCTTTGAAGAATTTCTTCAGGTCATGGCCAGCACATCTCCTGGTTAAGTGTTCTAAAAATAACTTATTGGTGGACTGCTCTTACTTAAAAGGCTGTTAAATCTACATGTGTAATTGGATAAATGTATAAGCTTAGTGCATTATTAGAGTGGTAAAATTGCCCATGTTTGCTGTCAGTTTCTATCCCTTAAATTTTGGAAACAGCTGGGACAATCACGACAGTGTGAAATCCTCAGCTCGCTCTGTGCTTGAGCAAGGCCGAGCTGCCGCCGTTTCAATCCTGACTGTTTAGATGACAAAAATTTCTTTGGAGTTAATTGTTAACCCAATTAACTGTGTGTTGTTTTTTTTTTTTCCTTTGTTCTGCCTGCAGCATCCTCATGTTTATAGCCCTGTAATACAGGGCAACGCTAGGATGATGGCCCCACCAGCACACGCACAGCCGGGTTTAGTATCTTCCTCTGCAACACAGTACGGTGCGCATGAACAGACACATGCTATGTATGGTAGGAAACGTTTTGTGTTATATGTAACTTTTTAAGTCCTTACCTTGTGCAGGGGATGTATTTAATCTCAGCCTTCAAACGTGGGTATCTCAGTAGTTGTGGTTTATATTTCATAAGATGATGATGATGATGAGGATGAGCAGAGCATTGAAAACTGAGCCAGCTGGTTCAAATGAAAACTCAAGTGTGCTGATTTCGGTAGAATGCCAGTGACCAAGATGAGATTTCAACCTGGGAGCTGCTAAAGAATATCTGCTGAAAGAAGTTTGTTCAAGTTCTCTTGATGCTCTTGATACATCATCCCTTGTTTGTTCCTTGATTATAATTAGTACTTGTTTCATTGCAAGGTTATGACCTCAGTTTCAAACTTGACTTTAGTTCTGGCAACTAGTGAAATGCTGTCTTTATGATACTACTGGCATTATTAACAGTATGAACACTGCTGTTTAAGCAAAATAAACCATGTGTTGCTTACCTTTCTCATTTGGTAAGTCAAGAATAAGTAAATGCAACAGCTCATGTATTGCTCTCACTTGGACAATTAGTCTCTAGCATTATCAGATGGGCATTTTTCACTTACAGTGAAGTGCTGAAAATGTGGGTTACCTTGTGACAAAAGTAAAATGTGCAAGAACTTTCTAAAGCATTATAAATGTATAAATCAAGGCCAAATTTGGAGGAAAAAGAGCTCACTGCACAACATGCTATTGAAAGAGGTAGAGTCAAGGTTGTTTAAGGCTTGGAAATTGTCATAAAATGTCAAAACAGCAGATGGTCTCTTGAAAACATGGCATTTCAATACTTGTTATAGCATCTGAGGAAAAGTTTTATTGGGTCACGTATATTATTGACTTAGATTCTAATAAAAGATTTTCTGTACCTTTAGACATCTTTGTATGTTTTTGGGTGCTTAGTTTTACACTACTACTTAATGGAAGTGCATGACATGTCACGAAAACTTACAGAGAATCTGGAGTTTAGTGGAAAATTAATTCTGATTTTAAGAGGTGTCTTGCCCCTCTGAAAACATCTTGTCAGATTTCTGCAGTGGTGCGGTAACAGAGTTAAGAAACAAAAATAACTTATTTTGATGCTCAGAGGAAGAACATTTGAGCTCATTTGTGCTGAAGCTGAAATGGAAGTTACTTGTAGAGATTAATCTTTCTCTCACAGGTCCTTGCTAATTGTATTACTTTGATCTTTTCAACTCTTGTGCTTGAGGTGTCCATGTAAACAGATCTTCTGTTTGCTTTTTCATTAGATTAAATAGAATTCCGATAAAGCAAATGATCAAAGGCTTTCAGACCTTTATTGGTGAAAACCCTCCTCTCAAATTCTAATTAAAATAAAACCAAACATGAGATAATCTGAGGTTTGATTCAGAATGGTTGCATGTGACTTTCTAGCAATTTCCCATTGTGCACCATCCTTATCTTCTGTAATCAGTGGGTTCTGCAGTGTTGAAGTACATGCCCGTTGCCTTGCTTGGCTTTGATCAGATGTCTGTATAGGTTTTTTTCACTGATATTTTAACTTACAACTGTTAGATCTCATTTTGTGTTGGTTTTGCAGCTTGTCTGTTGTAGATATGTGACTACCTGCCAGTGCAAACAACTAAGTTGGGTCAAACTTGAGAATTCTTTGGTATTTCCTGCCATGTAATTAAATATTACTTTCCCAAGAGCACCTAATTTAACAGAAATGGCCTGTCCTCCTGTGTTCTTTCAAGTAGCTACTTGGTGACTCTTCTAAATATTCTCCCACCTTCCAGTAAATGATGGAATGCTTGAAATTTTTGTTACTGAAACCATTGAACCCAAGAGGATCATGAACTCCATGTGACAGACCTTTTTTAAGGGTGTGTTCTTGCCCCTGTGCAGACGTGTTTAGTGAGCATGGAACTGTCTCAAATGTACCCTTCACCTTCCAAGGTGACAGTGACACATGGAATGACTCCTGATGTTCTGCAGCAGCCTCTCAATTCACATTTTTGCAAGTCTTGCATGTGCTGAGTGCCTGAAGACCTGGCCCAGACAGACTGTGCTTCCTCAAAGTGTGTCCAGCTGTAACGTGTCCACTTCAGCTTCCATTTATCCATGTGTGGGAAAAGGCAGGAATGGCAGAGGTGACCAGTCTGAGCTGCTTATGGAGCTAAAGAACATCATGTTGGAATTGTTCACATCTGACTGAGTGACTATAAGAAAATATCCATAACTTATGTGCTGTCTTTTGGGAATCTTAAGTTTACCCACATTTGAACTAAATATACCTGTGCACTTTGATTCTGGTCCTCTCTTAAAAAATAATTTGAAAGTACAGAATAACAACTTCCTGAGAAACAACCACCGCTGCTGCTTTTGATTTTGCTTAAACATTTTCCCTTTTGACTCTTAAAAATGGCTATCTGATTTTTAAAATATATATTACTTATTTTTAGCACTAATACCAGGATTCAGTGGGCCACGCTGCCCTTTTACTCTTCAAGGTACTGGTGCTTGCTTTGAGTTACTCCTGCAAAATTCACTCAGTTTTTCTCCTGCATATGTGGTAGAGAGAAGATGTCTGCAAGAACTACTGTGCTGAGACCTGGGGGTTGGGGGGAAACTGCTTATCAAGTATTCCTAAGGTGTGAAATGTTTTCTGGTAAGATCTGAAACTCCACCTTCACTAATGGTTTGGGACAAGTTGAAAGTCTGTGGCAAATAGTAACAGCCTGGCAGCCAAAAGAAATTCGATTTTAAGGGAACCACCCTCACTGCCAGAATTTTGGGGTTATTTTCCTTCCTGTCTTGTGAAGAGATAGCTGAATCCAAATAACATACAGTGACCTACACTGGGTGATAAACACCCTTCCATTTTAAAGAAAAGTACTTTTGTCTAATGCTGTTTAATGGGATATTCCTGCACTACTGGGATTTCCTTGCCAGTTCACAGTGTCACAACCCTGCTATTGCCAAGAGAGAGAACAGAGCTGCATGGTCCCAGTAACCCCAGCTAAAGACAGGACAGAGGAGTGTTCAGATCATTGGGGTTTTCCCCTCAAAATGGGGAAGGACAGAGTCCAAACAACTTTCTTCCCAGCCAGACGATAACAACGTCTGTGACACTTCAGCTGCGGAGCCATGCGTGTCCTGGAGAGTTTGAAATGTGACACCTTTACCTGCCACACAGCCGACCTGGAGGTGTCATCCTGCCCCTGCTCAGCTGCACCTTGGGTTCAGGAGGTTCTGTGTCTGTCTGGCAGCTGCTGGCTCAGGGTGGCCTCCCAGTCCCTGTCCTTGGGCTGCTGGAGTTTGCTGGCCACGGTCCCAGTTTGGCTCCTGTGTCACACAAAGCCCAGACCAGGCTTCTGCTGCTGGTAGAAAATTTGGTTACCAAGTAGAGGGTGGATCTGTCCATTCCTGTGACATTGAACTTGTGTTTTTTCTGTGTGGCTGAATTGTTTCCAGATAATTGGAGTCCTCTGAAAAACTGAACTTTTGTGTTTTAAGAACTTGTGTAAAACCAGACTTTGGTTTTACACAGATGCATTTCCTGTTTTTTGTGCTCTCATTCCTGTCCCCGTTCTCCCTTCCCTTTTCCCCTTCTGCATATGTTTTACTGGTCTGGTGTTGTCTCTAACTTTATCTGGTTTCTGTCTCAGCAGTAGAGTAAATTCTATTCCCCTGATAGTACAATGGTGGATAGAATATAAACTTCAGAGGATTCTCCAGGGACTAAGAGTGAACCAGTCACCAGAGTTGTCTTGGAACTGTTCAGAATGGCAGTGCTATAGCTGAAAAAGCAAGGGCCAGTTTCTGCTCTAGTGTAATTGCATTTTAACCTTCTTGTTACAGTGGACAGTAATAGACCATGAATTGACATAAAGCTTTTATTTTGTGTTAATTAAGAACTGCAGACCTCAGTGTCAGAGTTAAGAAGGAAGGCTTACTCGAGACCTACTCCACTCATTTGTAAAACAAAATATCTAGCTCTAATAGCAACTAAGTGAATAAAAATATCTGCATGGTTCTAGAGTCTTCAAAAAATAATTTAAAAAATTTAAACTAACACTGACCTTTCCAGAAGATGGGAAGTATGCACTTGGCAAGAGGCTAATTTACCTTTCTATTTCCCAAATTCAGCATGTCCCAAAATACCATACAGCAAGGAGACAGGCCCTTCTTTCTACTTTGCCAGTGAGTTGGGTTTTTTGTACTAATTTTGATTGTACAGAAAAGCACTTTCTAAAGAACCACATGTTAAAGGAATGGGACGTGTTGAGGGAACAAGTTTCCTTGCACCAAACCAGGATGTGGAAAACGCAGGAAGGTTCCTCAGTGAGCAGGGAATGTAGCTTTGTGACGAATTTATATGATCACAGGAAGCTAAGTTGTCAATTCTTCAAAAATTTATTTTGAATATGAAATAATCTCTGATTTCACTACCCAGTCTTCTCATCTGCAGCCAGAAGTGGGCTCTAAGAAATCCTTCCCCGTGAGGGTGGTGAGGCCCTGGCACAGGATGCCCAGAGAAGCTGTGGCTGCTCCATCCTGGAAATGTCCAAGGCCAGGTTGGATGGGGCTTGGAGCAGCCTGGGATAGTGAAAGGTGTCCCTGCCCGTGGCAGGGGGTGAAACAAGATGATCCTGAAGGTCCCTTCCCACCCAAACCACTCTGTGATTCTGTTGCCTCTACTTAAACCTGTGAGAGCTGGTTTCTCCCTTTCATGAGCCAAACAGGATTTTTACACCTGATGAGTTACCAGCTTCCTAAAAGGAGAAGCAACTTGGGCCTCATCCCTTTAAAAAGCCGTGGCTCAAGTTTTGAGCCCCTAGGAGGAAATAACTCGAGTTGCAGCCGAGCTGCAGGAAGTTTTCTGTAGAGCTGCCACTGAAGGAGTGCTGGGAACAACTTGTGGTCATGATTTTATGCCAGGGATGAGATGAGGGCTCCTGGAACTTTCCCAGTTCACTCCCTAGCTCAGGTGGGGCTGTGCTGGTGAGCAGCATCGCTGGAGGCACTGGGAGAGGAGCTGGTGCTCTCTGGACACAACAGTGAGCTGCTCCAGCTCATCCACACTTACAGGAAAGGCAGAGAACTGCAAAATCCTGCCTTGCCTGCTGGTGTTCAGCAGCTGCTTTGAGGAAGCTGAGGTTAGAGGGGGTGCTTGCAGGATGAACTCTCACCCAGGACAGGGGAAAGGAGGAGTTGCAGTTTCAGGCTGTTTTTGTTCTTGCTCCTGTCCTGCCGTGGCACTTGTTGCTGTGTCTGTCTGTAAGTCTGTGCAGCTCATGCCAGGCTCTCTCCTTTTTGTTTTTTTGGTTTTGTTTTTTTTTTTTTTTTTTTTTTTTGCATTAGCTCATGCGAGAGGGATGTGAGAAAAACCACTTGTTCTCCAAAAATCTCCTCTGGAGCAGATTTCTTGTGCCACACTGGTTCTGCCTGAGTGGGGGCTGTAGGATGCTGACCTGTGCTGTGTTCATGCCTCTTGGTTTGGTGCACTGAAATCACTTCAATAACCTCGTTCCTTTCTTGGATTATCTTTGAAGTCAAGTCCACTCTACCTGTGTAAAATGACTTCTTGAAATGTTTGTATGATGAAAGAAACATTTGCTATTTCTTTGCTTCCTACCATTCAGGTCTTTTAAATGTAGTTATCCTCACCATCTTACTGGCTCTGGCAATAATTTTGAAGTTTGTTCACTGGTCAGTTTTTGAAAATAGGCTCTTCAATGCATCTTTGGACCATGACCAACGCTGACCACCATTGGCACCATTGAAATTCCAGGGAAAAGACAAAATTACAAAATTACACAATGTGGTTTCACATATTCCCTTGTAGCTGAGTTCTGCTTGATTTCTGCTGCTCTGACCTCTTCTGATTTCAGCTCCTTCTGTGGGTTCTGTGGCTGACTACTTCTTGTTTGCTCTCAGAAAGGGTGTGCAGTTCTGTAGAGTTGAATTCACTAATTCAATCCCTGTGATGTTTTTCTCCCATTCCGTGACTGAGTTGCTCCCATCCCTGCCAGGTCAGTGCAGTGAAATATCTCCCATTAGAACCAATTTGATTAGAAAGATGCAGAAGTGAAGGAGGTCAGCCCAGGCAGAGGAATTTAGGGCAGAAAGGCTGAGAAATCCAGTGTATTAGTGCTGGAATGAGCTGAGGTGACTTGCAGCAAGGTGTGTCCGTTCCCAGAGCTTTCCTGGCACGTTCTCAGGTAACAGGTGGCCATTGGAAAATATCAAAATTACTGACAATTGGGGGAAAAGTGTTGGATAATGGGTCCCTTTTTTTTTTTTTTTTTTTTTTTAACCTCCTGTCTTGTCTTATTTGCTGATAATTTGTGTAGTGAGCTGTTTTGATGACCAGGCAAAAATTCCTTTAAAAAAATCCCAGGGAAAGTGTTTTAGTTCTGGCTGAGCAGGTGAATTTTTCATGGCTTTTACAAGACTCCTTTGACAGCCCTGCTGGTCTCAGAGATTTCATTGGCTTGGCAGGAATTACTTGCACAAACTAAACATGAAAAACCATTTACACTGCTGGAGTTGGAGTCTGAACTCTGGTTTTGAGCTGGGAATGCATTTCAGACCTGCTGAGTCATTCTTGGTTTGTGTGCAGGAACTGGCCAGGATTTAGAGAAGTGCCCAGATAACATTTTTTGAAAGGCATTTTTAATATTACTCTTAAAACATATTTTGCAGCAGCATCTGAAGTGGTTTTAAGCTCTACAAATTTGGTCATTAGGGTGATCTGCTAAAGATAAAATGAAGGAGAGGAGAAACTAGAGAAAGAGATATTCTTCAGTATAAAAAAGTCCAGTGCTTCAAATCCAAAGCTATGGATAACATATTAGGTGGTTTTGGAAGAGCTGCCACTATGACAAAAACCTGATCCTCCTCTTGGTTTATATCTGTTCTTTAGGGTGCTATTCCTTGGTTTAACTGGTGTCTTAAGAGAGAAATTCCTTATTGTAAAGTCTTATTGTAGAAATATCTGCTTCAGAACAACTGAGTTTATTATTCTCTTGGCCATAAAGAACCAAAAGATAAATTGCACAAATGGTTTAATGGAGTCCCACATTATTTTGAGGGCTCTTAACAAGTGATGTGGGAAACCTTGAGTATCTTACAACTTGGAATTAAATTTCATATACATTCCATCTTGAATGGAGGTGGAGTTAATTTGTGGTGAGGCTTGCCAGCTCTGTGGCTGAGGCACTGGGAGGATTGCTGGTCTAATGTGCCCTTTGGCAAGCAAATAATCCCTCCTTCCATTTATTTCTATTACTGTGACAAAGATAATAATTTCTGGCCTTCTTCAGAGTGTTTATAATAATGAGGTTGAGAAATTTTCCTCCTGTAGAAAGCCATAAACTTGGTACTGTAAAAATAATCAGTGTTGCATTGCCATTGATAATTTTGGTGTTGTCAGAGATGTCTGAAAGTCGAGTAGGAGCGTGGCAGGGATGCTGCTGCAAAATACATTTTAGTAGTGATACAAAAAAGAAATCAAAAATACTTGGATTTAAAGCATAACAAAATGCTGTGGCAGAAGATCCTGCTGGTTTTGACAGCATGCTTAGAAAATATTGAGGTGTTTTTGAAACCCCTCTCAATCAGGAGGTCTCAGATTGTACAACTGTGCTTGCAGATGTGGATAAGAACATTAGGATCAACTCCAGGCTGCAGGAATTTGTTTCATCTGCATTAATAGCCTGAAACTGCTCATCACTGTGAGGCCATTTGCTCAGTGAAGATTTAATAGAGCTTGCCAGGGATTAAGTTAAATGTGGCAGGCAGTTATTTTCTAAAGGAGGAACCTGCACAGGGCAGAAAAAAACCTCAATTAGGCAAAAATATCCTGGCTCTCTGTATTCTGGTGAGTTGAAATGTGTCAGAACTTGGATTTGTAAGGTTTCGAGCAAACCAGACTGGAGGAAAACTGCAGTGGCCATCAAGTTCTTATATAATACCAACCCCATTAAAAATATATATATAATCTGGTAGATACTCATCAGTAATTAACTTCAGAACCACCAAAAGGCACCAAAACAAATAAGGAGCAGTTGAAGGAAATACTGAGGAGCAGGCTGATGGTTTTCTTTGGCTGTTTGCTTTTTTAGCACTTGGTCAGCAAAACTCTCCTTGCTCTTTCAGGCTGTGACATCAGAGGGATTAACACATGTTGTCACACACAGAAGTAGGTGCAGACATGGCCTGGTTGTTGCACAACACCTAAAATAATAGGGGAAACATCCTCATTTTTAGGGTCCTGCTTTTGCGTGCATGCTTTGTGTTGAAAGGAAGACGTGTTGTCATTATGGTTTTTCATACTTGCTAAGATTCCCTCAAAAGTTAAAAAAAAAATAGGATTTATTGTGGCCCATTTGAAGCAAGACAGAGCAGGATCCAAAAAGGAACTTGGTGTGTTTGTTGTTGGAGACTGGCACGGCTGTAGCAACAGTTGTGGCTTCACTGGGGTAAAAGTTTTCTGTTGTTCAGTTTCTTCCTTTTTGGGAATTTTTTACCTTATTTGCTTCTGATTCAAGGAATGAAGAATTCCGTGGCAGTGTTGGGGAACTCACAGGATGGTGGTGATCCAGAACAGATTGGCCTCGAGGGCAGAGGCAAAATGGGTTATTTTAGCACAAGAAAGTGGCTTCAGCAAAAATTCGATGCTCGAGCAGCCTCAGTTTTGTCAGCTGTGATGTGTTTATTGACTCTGGAGCGCACGGGCAGAGTTTGTGCTTCCCTCTGACTGTTCTGTGAGCAATTTCCAGAAGAGTAGCATGGTGAGGTTAGCCAGGTATAAGGCCAAAGAATTTTTTTTGGATGGTGGAAATAAAAATGGCTCGTAACACCTTTAAAAAGTATATCTCAGGAAATCCTAAATTGTGTGAAAATTATAAATTTGATCTTTGAAACTGGTCTGTTTGACAAAACAAAAGATAAAATACTGCTTTTCTCTATGTATCTGTTACATTGTCAAATTAGGGAAGATGAACTGTCTAATTATGGTTGTTTATAGACTTTCCTGCCAAACCAAACTACACAAAAGCAAGGTAAGATCATCAGCTATTTGCAAGATAAATCCATATTTTTTTTATACGGGGGAGGGAATATATTTACAGAGTGAGTTGTAGTGAAATCTTCAAATGCAGATGGTGACTTGATAGAGGTGCACATCCTGAACCTGGTGTTAAATATTCCTCTTTTTCATCCTAGTTTCCACTGGCTCACTTGCTCAGCAGTATGCCCACCCTAATGCTACCCTGCACCCGCATCCTCCGCATCCTCAGCCTTCTGCCACCCCAACTGGCCAGCAGCAAAGCCAACATGCTGGAAGCCACCCTGCTCCAAGCCCCGTGCAGGTAACACAACCCAGGGCCTGAGCAAGTTGTGTTTAATTGTGTTTTTAAGGGATTGCAGCTGATTGATGTTTGATGTTCATGTATTGATTTCTCCAAGAGTTAAAAGAATAGGATTGAGCAGAGTCCAACCACTCATTTTTCCCTGTTCACAGGGGATGGGGGATGTTTCAGATTCAAGGGTTAAGGAAGGATCATAATTGTGTCAGTGCTTTCATATGGGTGAAGTGGAAATAGCAGATAAATGCTGAGAAGTGTTTGATTGGATTTTGTCAAAGCAGCTGGAAACAAAGTGGTCCTTGGGTAGTACTGCATTCCTTAATTCCCTCCTGGGAATAACTGGCTGCAGCTGTGAGGCACTCCCAGCTCCAGGTTCTGCATGGTTTTACCTGGCACTCTGGGTTCTGTTTGCCAGCAGAAGCTGAGCCTGGTGTGGCTGTAAAGAGTTTCCCCACGAGCACGGCTGATCCTTAGTGTCACCATTTACAGATTTGGAGTCGAGAGGATCAATTAACAGGATCAATGTAATTCCCCAGCCCTAACCTCAGTGATCTCTGTGTTTTCTTGCAGCACCACCAGCACCAGGCTGCCCAGGCCCTGCACCTGGCCAACCCCCAGCAGCAGTCGGCGATTTACCACGCAGGTCTAGCTCCAACCCCTCCTTCCATGACGCCAGGCTCCAACACGCAGTCTCCACAAAACAATTTTCCTACAGCACAACAAACAGTCTTCACCATTCATCCCTCCCATGTTCAACCTGCATATACCAATCCGCCACACATGGCCCATGTCCCCCAGGTAAACACAGTTTAACAACCTTCAAGACTAAATGTCTTAATGCCACAAAAAGTTAGGACAGTCGGGCCTGCTGAAGTGATTGCCAATCTGTCACCTCTCAGCACAGACTTACCTGTTGTTGTTATTTAGGTTTCTGTCTGTACATTGCCTTTATTTAGAATTTGACAAGGTGTACTTGGACCTCAGCTTCCAACACCTAGTTCATCTGCAACTGTAGTTTAATGACGACATCTTAAGCTGGCACTGCTACTGAAATAAATTGAGCTCTCTTCCCAGTTCCTGGCTCCCATCCTTGTCCCTGCCCCACCACTCTGCTCACAGAACTGCTTGGCCGTGGAGCAGACCAGGCTGGGGACACAATTCAGCTGAAATGTGCCTCCCCTACCCCCTTTTTAGGCTATTTCTTGGTCAAATTGGTTCCCTGCTCAGTCAGGTGCCTGATCCCAGGAAGAGCTGGCATACAGAAAGGTTGGAGGTGGGAAGTGAGTGCAGAAAGGCTGAATTGCTGCTTTTGGTGGCAGTTTCAGGCTTTGCATTGTAGACAAATATTATACAAATACATTCAGAAAAGGACATGACAGGATTTCCAGGGAGTAGCAAGGCAGTGCAGGGAGAGAGGAGGGAGTTCAGGTGACTGCAGGACAATCCTTGCAGAAAGAAGCCTCTGTGTGTGTGGTGTGTGTGTGGTTCTAAACGAACTGCTTGTGCTGAAGATCCCCAAAGATTGTTGGGCAACCTAAAACAACAGTCTTTGCTTCAGAATCAGAAACCCACTTCTCTTAACTGCTCTCTTGTGGTCAGCTCCCTGAGAAAAAGGATTTGGGGAAGGGAAGCACATGATAGATTAATCAAGAGCTCCGTGTAAAGCAGTGTGACACAGATTTTCTGATGTTTACTAAATCTCCTGGATTTAGTGTCCTCTGTCAAGGAATGGGTAGTTCAATCAATAATTTGCCTGCACAATTTTTTCTTCAGACCAATAACTTGGTGTCTGGCTCCTGCCTTCTCACACAGGTTAACAGTAGTTTGGGATAAGGTGACTAACTATGATTAGGGATGTTAATCTGACAGGTGTCCAGTCCCTTGCAGAATTCTGATAAAATCTTTGCTTTTGTCCCTGGGACAGTCAGTTAAGCCAATAAATCAATAGTTCTGTAGGAATCGTTTTACTGATGTTTTTAGCTTTTTAATTCTTTTAGGCTTTTGATTTCTCTGCTTTTTTTGGGGGGGAAGGATAAGGAGAGGATGGCCAAAGTTGATAATTGCTGTGGCATCTTGGCACATCCTTCCCTTCTCTGGTTTCTGCCAGAAACAAGACTCCTGCTCTGCTCTGGTGTGAAGACACTGCTGTGAATGCCTGGGTTGTGTTTAGAGCTTCTCAGAGGGGTCTTGGCTTAGTGGCATGTCCAGTGCTGTGATTTGAAACACGAAACATTTGCTTGAAGGCCGTGAAAGGGGAAAGCTGTGCCTGAATTGTGCCCTGGCCAGGCCAGGGATGCAGGATGTGACCATTGCCTTCCTTTCTGTGTGCCAAGCAAACCAAATTAAATCAGATGCAACTTTGAGTCAGAACTGACTGCTCAGACAGCATTTTTAGCAATCACAGACAAAGTCTGCCTTTGCCCTTGATTTTAATTTGTGCAGTCTCTTCTGCAATTTTTTTTAGAATGAAACGGCAATTTGTGATATTTACACCAAACTAATTGACTTTCCCAATGAAGTAGTTCCCTCAAAAATCTCTAGTGAAGGCATAACTACAGTTCTGTCAGAAATTTTAAATGCATGTAATTATTCCATCGTGGGGAAACTAATCACTGGATTTAATAGTTTTTTTAGCAGCCTCATTCCCAGTTTCTAAACACAATTCTGAAATACCACGTAGTAAGAACTTCAGTTAGGCCAACACAGGGGATCAATCCCATTTCCCTTCAGGTTATCAGATTAATCTTGGGCTGGTGGAAATCTCACTTGAGAACCAGTACTTTAAAATTCATTAGAGTGCTGTCAGCTGCCAATCTGCAAAATGTTTGAGCCACAGCAGAAAAATTTTATCCACTGTGTGTATTGACTCCAGCTGCTCTATGAATAGCTGCTTTATAATGATGGCTTCTACAATAGCATGTTTGTCAAAGTCAACGAGGAGCCAGTCCTGGGAGGCATTTCTGTTCCCCAGCCTGATTTCCTAAACCTTTTTTAGAGCAAGAGTGAGATTTGAATTGCAGTTCCTGCCTTTAAAGGCTTCTGGGGTGCTACTAACCACGTGCAAGTCTGATCAAAGAGTTTGGGGAATGTCTGTGATGAGTCAAGTAACCCTTTTTGTCTTTAAGAAATAAAATTCTAGCCACTACCTGCTATCTGTCTTTACTGGCATGGGAGACCTGTGAGGCTGCAGTTCTGGGATATGGTAGAAACAAACTTTAGGTACAAATGATGGGGTTTTGGGGCTTTTTTTTTTCCCAGGAGAAATCCACTGAGAGCTCTGAGTTTCTTTGTGCTTTTAAGAAATTAATGTTTGCTAGGTTTTTAAATAAAATAAATTTATGACCTCTAGAGACATGAGCTAAAGAACCCACCAAGTTCCTGAATTTGTTTGCCAGAGGTGATCAGCCATGGGGAAAGATTAATCTCCTTTTCCACTGAGATTTAGCCCTGATTGCTCAGATTACACAAGAACTGCGATGAGCTGAACTGGAAGCAGAACAAAGCTGCCCTGAGAGTGTGAAGGGATGAAATCACTCATGTCAGGAGGACTTGGCTGAGCACTGTGTGGGCACAGGTCACTGGAGAGGACAGGGAGGTTCCCAGGGCAGGGAGCCAGGAGAGAACGTGGGGTTGTGCAAGGAGAGAGCTGGGGAAGGGATGCCAGACTCTCAGTGCCTGCAAAGTTCCTATCTGTACCCTCTAGGAAGTGCTTTGATCTGGGTGACTAACAGAAATGTTTTGAAGATTTGTTGCTGAATTGTTATTTTTTTAAATACCCCCTTGTTTAATGCTGGCAAAATGGCTAAAATTGAGAACACAACTCAGAGCCAGCAGTAAGGTCTTGAGCGCTTTTTTGAATTATTATTTTCCCTTTTTGTTGTTATTTTTATTTTTGTGTTACAACTTCTGCCTTAACCCCTAACCTAGTTTAAATAATAAAAAAGAAAAAAAAAAAAACAAAAGAGAAAAACGAATGAAGAGTAAACCTTTGCTGACGGAGCAAACTTTCGCCAGTCATGTGGCCAGGAGTTGCTGCCTCCTTGTGACCATGATACTAAAGAGCTCTTTGTTTCAGGCTCATGTACAGTCAGGAATGGTTCCTTCTCACCCAACTGCCCATGCTCCAATGATGCTAATGACGACACAGCCTCCCGGTGGTCCCCAAGCCGCCCTCGCTCAAAGTGCACTACAGCCCATTCCAGTCTCGACAACAACACATTTCCCCTATATGACCCACCCTTCAGGTGAGGAGTGTGTGCCCGGGAGACCTGCACCCTAACTGAGCCAGGTCGAGGAGTGAGGACTGGGAGAAACCAGATCTTTTGGGGAAAAATAATCATAATTTTAAAAAAACGACAAAGAAAACCGACCAACCTTAAGATGTCCTTGTGTTTCACAGCTGTGCTTTGGCAGCCTAGAGGAGCGTAGGTTTAGCTGGTGAGATGTACCTAATTCAGGGAATGTTCAGGGAATATTTGTGCTTTTTCTCTAGCTGGAGTAGAGAAAAGGAGAAGTGTGAGCCACTGGCGCTGTGGGACTGAGTTTTCCGTGGATTTGCCGTGGGGGATGGACTGTGTGTAGTTTATAATGATCAGAGGTTTGATTAAATCTCGAGCACAGGAGTGAAATGTTGTGTGGGGGTAGGGCTGCTAGGCTGCTGGTAAAGTGACAACTGAAATCTAAACTTTAATTCAGAGTAACATTCTGCAGCTTTGGGGGAAAAGTAGGAGTTGTGTGACTTCTTTCTGCTTTAAATTTAACCTTTTTTAGGTTTCTTTGATTATTCAAGTTCAAACAGCCTCTGAAGTTCTTTAGTGATTTAGTTTTACCTGATGTTTCTTGGGGAACTTGTGAACAGAACAAAGCTGCTTTCTGAGGGTTTAGGTAGGGAAAAGAAAAAAAAACATCCCAAGGACATCTTGATGTGCAGGGTTTTATTTTGTTCTCTAAAAAAATAAAGGAAAAAATAAAAATAAAGTTGAGCTCAGTAGTTGTCCTGTGACCACTTTACTAGCAAACTGTTGTGTGGCTTGCCAATTTATTATTTACATTTGAACTTTTTTTTTACAGTACAAGCCCACCACCAACAGCAGTTGTAAGGCTCATCTGGAATAACTGAAAGGCTGGATACCTTTTGTAGGCCAAATACCCTCCTTCTACTGCTTCTGCCAACTGGAAGCACAGAAAACTAGAATTTCATTTTATTTTGTTTAAAAAAAAAAAAAAATTTGATTTCTTGTAACATCCACTAGGAATGCTAACAGTTCATCTTGCAGTGGGAGAGATTCGGACTGAGTAGAGGCATTTAGGAACTTGTGGGCTATTCCATAATTCCATGCACTGTATCTGAGTCCTGCAAGTGCCCCAACTCTGCTTGCTGAAAACTGGAAGTTATTTATTTTTTAATGACCCTTCAAAGTTATGAACTCGTCAGCTAGCAAAAGAAGTAACAAGAGTGATTCTTGCTGCTATTATCACTAAAAATCAAGACTTGGAGATCCCTTTTACTTCTAACTAAACTTGAAAACAGGTTCAGTAAAAAAAAAAAAAAATTCTAATCGTCAAACGGATGAGTTATTATTTATAAATCACGTTTGATGAGATAATCACTATCGTGAGACAGTGATGTAACTTTTAAGTTAAGAAAACTTTTACTTTGTAGATAATATAAAATAAAAACTTAAAAAAAAATTAAAAAATAAAAAAAGTTTTAAAAACTGACCCTCCTCGGTGTTTGTGTGGTGATTTTTGGGTCTCTTCCCGTATCTGCTGCTGCAGGGGCATTGCAGGAATAAGGGAAAGGTTTGGGAATCCCAAATTCAGCCCAGTTTCCTAACAAGGTTTTGTGTCCAGGTGATTTTGTGTTCCTGATCCCTCAGCCTTGAGCTGCTCTGGACGGGGTCGGGAAGATCCTGGACGGACCTTTAAGGTGTGGAAGTATAAAAGTCAGTGGTGCTGCTGGAGAAGGAAAGGAAAGGTAAGAATTCCCTGGCAAAATGCCCTAAAAAGATGGGCAGATAAAGTTATCCCTGCTCCAAATGTCGTGCAGGCATCGTCCCATGGGGACAAACCAGAGGATTTTCATGCCCAAATGAGCATTTCTCCCTTTCAGCATCCAGTATCCACTAAAACAATGTCCAGACACCTGGAGACAATCAGGCTGAAGACTACAAGTGAGAAACAAGTTCTAAAAACAGTTTATTAAGAGCAGATTTTTTTTTTTTTTAATATTATGGTAAAATCGCATTATTCAAGAATAAGTTACTTGTACAGTACATACAGAAACAATATATAGAAAAAAATTACTATACAAGAAGAACTTTTCTGTGCAGGTGAAAAGTAGAACTTTCAAATTAATACACTCCCAACAAAATTGTTGGCTTTAATCGTCCTGCTGAAGGCTGAGTTAGGGAATACAGAGTCACCTCCCTGCCTCTGGGAGCTGCTGGGGAATGTTGGGGCTGTTTGGATCAAAGCTAAAAGCTTGGAATGCTGGATGCCACCGGGCTTTGGTGGTCCAGATGAGGAATGAGAAGCTTTGGCTTCTCCCTGGATCTTTTTTTAGAAGTTTCACCCCAAAAAGGCTTCAATCCAAAGGGATGGGTGAGGAATGGTGGTGTCAGTGTTTGGTTCCTGCCGGGGCTGTTCCACAGGGCTGGGATGTGGGAGGGAGGGATGAAGACATCAACTAATGCTTCATGTCAGGAGCTCCTTCAGAACTGACACCCTCGGGGACACAGAGGCCACCACCAGGAGCAGCAAACAGCAAGAGGAAGAGGAGGGGGAGGAATTCCAAGTTTTGGATTGTGCCCTAAACCAAGTCCCTGCTGTCACGGAGCAAAGGCACTGCCTGGTTTTCATCTTTATTGCTAAAACCTCTCCTGAGGAGCTGGATGAAATGGAAGGCCATGGGGCAGGGCCTCAGCCCAGCTCCAAGAGGCTCCTGGCTCCCCCAGCTGGGATCCAAACTCGTGTTCCACGTGTCCATCTCCAGGGCCAAGGCACAAACCGGTGCCTACACCTGACCAGGGGCTACCTGCCCTTGGCCTCCCCTCCTCCCAAAATTCTCACAAATGCCAGTAAAAGCCCACAGGGGCTGGGGAACCAAACCTGCCCAGCCCTGGGCTCTTCTCTCAAGTTACAAGAATATAAAAATTCCTGCAAAATGCTTCTATTCCATAGGGTGGAATGGCTTAATGCTCTTTGTCCACTGCTACAATGCAGAGGAGTGAGCACCTCGGGGCTGGAGTAAGGTGCTGGCAGGAGCAGAGTCGTGCTCTGACCTGTGTCACAAGCCAGATGTTTTCTAGGAGAAACAAGATTTCAAACTCAGTTCCCCCTGAGAGCTTGGGAAATAGCCCCAAAATGCCCTCAGGTCCTGCTGGCAGTGGATCTGGAATGAGGAGCTGGTGGAGCTGGCAGGGCTGGACAGCCCTCGGCTGCCTGTGGGTGAGTTTGGGGATGCAATTAGCTATTAAATAATTAGAGGGACTCTCCCACTGCTCACTGGTGGGGAGAACACGAGTTCTCCCCCAGTGGAGTTTGTTTGCATGGGGGAAGTGGCTGACAGGGAGATAATGAACCCAAAGTGTATTTTACTAATCAAGCACAGCAATTTCCATTTAAACTGCGGAGAACCCCCTTGTAATTAAGCTGCAGGTTAAAAATACCACATGCACACGCATCTTTCAGTTCTGGCACTGGAACAATAAAGTCCTGGCGTGCCAAAACAACCCACCCCAGCAGCATCTGATTTATCTGGCAAGGATTTCTCTGGATTCATCTGGCCAGGGATGTGAATAGCACTGCCTTTTCCCAGCCCGTCCTTCCTTAGCAGATGTTGGGAGATTCGGGTGATTCCACCTCGCCTTTTGGGGGAAAACCCCTTTGAAAGCAGCTCCCTGGAGCTCAGTGGGACTAAAACCAACAACCTTAGCAGGATTTAGCACATCCCTGTGTTTTCCAAGGCTTTGGGAAGCAGGCAGAAAGCAAAGAAAGGAAACGACAACTTGTGCTGTGCTGTCCCCCCTTCCCTTCCCCATCCCTACCAATGCAAGAGCACGGGGAGTTATTTCTGAGGCTGGGAGGGAGCTGCCTCGCCTGGCACCAGGCAGCCCCGGGGATGTGCTCCTGCCTCTGGCTGCAGCCTTTGTGCTGCTCCAGGGAGGAGAATGGGATGCGGATACAGCTGAGGAGCCCAGCGAGGACAGGGCTGGCTTTGTTCCTCCATCAGCCTCTCCGGGGCTGGCAGTGCTGCAGGACCAGTGCAATGTGCTCTTAATGCTCCAGTTTCAGGCATGAGTGTATAGAAACGAGGGGGGAGAAAAGCCTTTGCCTGCTCTAAATGCACAAAGCCCAGGAGAGAACAAGAGCAAGCAATGGGGAGGCACAAAAGGAAAACCTAAATGGTTTCTCCAGTTGATGGTTCCCGTTTGTCCCAACCTCCTAATTTGATTTATAAACCCAGATTTGCTCTCACAGCTGCTTCCTGGGCTGTTTGGCCCCAGATATTTTGGCCTTGCCCTTCAGCTCCTGACCTTGTCTCCTTAGACTTTGGGCTCACGCAGAACCTGCAAAGCCTGTCCCAGAGGCTGGATTTTTGTGGAATTCCCTAACTCAGCCCAACGAGGCTTTGTGTTTGCTGGTTTTTGAATTAATTGCTAAATGTTAATGCTCCTGAGGGCTCCCACCTCTATTGCAATTTCAAGGAAAATAGAAATAAAAAAGCTTTCCGTAAGGCAATCTCAAGGCAAGTTTTGCATCCGAAATCCCAGGGAAGGCTGTGCTGGGAAATCTGGAAGTTGGATACTGTGAACATCCCCTCCTGTGTGGCACAACGGCTCCAGCCCTTCCTCTTTCCTAAAATAAAGGAGCTTCTCAGAAGTGCTTCCTCTCTCACGGCTGCCCCAGGCAGGTGAAGCAGCCCCGGGGGCTCGGGAACAGCAGCAGAATTTGGGGACAGAATTTGGGATCAGGGGATGCTGAGACCCAGGGATTTGGACAGTTTTTTCCTCCAGGCAAGGAGGTGTCCCCAGGGACCCCCATTGCCTGCAAGAGGCTGTTGTGGAGCCTTAAATGCCACCAAGCTCCTGGTGACAGGGTGTTCAGGGGGGAAAAAGGCAAGTGAGAGTAGGGGGGTTCTTTAAGGGGAAAACTGACTTTAGATTTGTGCCTAAAATTACTGGGATAAAACTGTTCCATCACCAGGATAAAACACTCCATCACCAGGATAAAAACCCATTCACCACAGGGATAAAAAGCCTCCATCACTGGGATAGAACGCATCCATCACCAGACAAAATGGGATAAACCCCTCCCTCACCAGCAGGAGAGGTTTGTGTCAGTCTCTGTGTTAGTTCTCAGCTGGTGCCATGGCTAAGGATGGAGCAATTAGTGTTCAGTCTCAATCAGCTGGGAGAGCAGGATGAGGATCCCTCTGCCTGGCGCAGGGAGTGACCACGGCTGTGCTGGGTTAAAAAGGAAAAGCAAGAAAAAGCCACTTTTTGCCTTAGTTAAAAAAAAAAAACCCAAACCCTGCTCACCACCCTAGATGGGAGCTCAGCTCAGGTCGGGCTTTGCTGGTGGGTTCAGCAGCCAGGGCTGGAGGATGAGGCCTGGAGCAGCAACTCAGCAATGAATTTATAATCATTCTTTTCTTGTTATCCTGGTGTTTTTTTAACTTTCTCCAATTCCATGGGTGTAACACAAGCCCCTGGTTCCTTGGCTGGGCGCTGTCAGGGACAGGCAGGACACCGGGCCCGGCGCAGGCACGAGCGGCATTGTGTAAACAGTAATGAGAAAGCTTCGATAAAAACAACAAAAACAACAATAAGAGGCCCTTTAACAGGCCAACGAGAGGGAGCACACCCGTACAGGAGTGAAAAATTACCCCCTTCCTTGCAAAAATACAATAATAATCCCTAACCAGAAGGAAGAAACAGGTACATTCTTTCTCTCGATGGATCCCCCAGAAGGTCTCCAGGATTTCTCCACCCGAAAGTGCATCCCAGTGCCGGTGCCATGCTGGTCAGAGGGGCGTGTACTGGTTGTCGATGGCACGGACGTGGCCCCGGCCCGGTGCCTCCACCTCATAGTCCGAGTCGCGGGGCCGGGGCGCGGTGGCCGCGGTGGCCGTGGCCGTGGTGGCCCTGGCCGGGCGCAGGCTCTGTGCCAGCTCGGCCGGTGGCGGCACCAGGTGGAAGATCTGCTCCGCTGGGGGACCCCCGGGGGGCTCATCGGGGCCGTGTGGGCAGGAGGAGCTGGAGGGGACGAGGCTGAACTCGGGGTTCCAGCCCGGGAAGGGCAGAGGGAGGGGGACGGTGGTGGTGGAGCCGGGAGCTGAGGGTGGAGAGAGGAGATGCTGGTCAGGGGGATGCTCCTGTCACCCCCTCTCTGGGGATGTGGGGTGCATCCCGTGACCCCCCCCCCCTGCAGCCGGTGGTTGGGAGCAGCTTCTCCTTTCTCAAAAGGGGAAGTTGGGAGCTTGGGAGTCACCTTTTGTGCCACTGCCCTGTAGGCTTCCACTTCCCCACTCCAGGAGCAAGCAAAGGGCTCAGCTCTGGCCGGCCCTGGGGCACCCACACCCAGCCCGGGCCCGTCCATCCCTGTATCCCAGGGGTACATCCCCCTTCCCTTTCTGCACACCTTGTGTCCCATGGGAACATTTTCCTTTCCCTTTCCTTTCCTTTCCTTTCCCTTTTCCTTTCCCTTTTCCTTCACTT